CACCATCACAGCAGTCATTCGGTTCCATGTTGTGAAACGTAAATTCCACCTCACTAAGTACCAGCCCCTGGTAACCTCTCTTGTACTTTCCGTCTCTACGAATCTGACCACTCTAGGAACCTCCCATGAGTAGAATCATAGAAGACAGTATTTGTCTTTGTGTGTGTGTGTGAGTTGATTGAGGATAACATCCGTAAGGTTAATCTCCTTTGCAGCCTGTGTAACAAATAGCTTTTTTTTTTTTTTTTTAATTTTATTTTATTTATTTATTTATTTATTTTTATTGGATTATAGGTTTTGGGGTACATGAGCAGAGCATGCGAGACAGTTGCGTAGGTACACACATGGCAGTGTGCTTTGCTTTTCTTCTCCCCTTCACCCACATTTGGCATTTCTCCCCAGGCTATCCCTCCCCACCTCCCCCACAAATAGCTTTTAAAAAATGACGGGCGCAGTGGTGCCCACCTGTAGTTACAGCTACTCGGGAGGCTGAGGCAGGAGAATCACTTGAACCCAGGAGGCAGAGGTTGCAGTGAGCCGAGATCTCGTCACTGCACTCCAGCCTGGCGACAGAGTGAGACTTCGTCTCAAAGAAAAAAAAAACAAAGATATTGCAGGCAGGGCGCGGTGGCTCACGCCAGTAATCCCAACACTTTGGGAGGCCAAGACTGGTGGATCACTTGAGGTCAGGAGTTTGAGACCAGGCTGGCCAACATAGTGAAACCCCATTTCTTAAAAAAAATAAAATAAAGGCCGGGTGCGGTGGCTCATGCCTGTAATCCCAGCACTTTGGGAGGCCGAGATGGGCCGATCACGAGGTCAAGAGATGGAGACCATCCTGGCCAACATGGTGAAACCCTGTCTCTACTAAAAGAAAAAAAATAATAATAAATAATAAAAAAATAAAAAATTAGCCTGCTGTGGTGGTACACACCTTTAGTTCCAACTATCCGTGGGACTGAGGCAGGAGGATTCTTTGAGGTCAGGAGGTCAAGCCTGTAGTGAGCCAAAATAACACCACTGCACTTTTGCCTGGATGACATAGTGAGACTCTGTTTCAAAGAAAAAAAAAAAAAATGTATGGGGCCAGGTGAGGCATTTCATACCTGTAATCACAGCTCTTTGGGAGGTCAAGGCAGGAAGACTGCTTGAGCTCAGGAGTTTGAGATCAGTCTGGGTAACAAAGTGGGACCCCATCTTTAGAAAAAAATTAAAAATTAGCCAAGTGTGATGGCACGTATCTGTATTCCCAGTACTGAGGAGGCTGAGACAGGAGAATCACTTGAGCCCGGAGGGTAAAGGCTGCCATGAGCCAAGATCATATCACTGTATTCCAGCCTGGGCAATAGAGTGAGATCCTGTCTTAAAAAAAAGATTGCATGGGACATACTTATACTAGAAATCATTCAGCCAGAGGTTGTGGCTCATGTATGTAATGCCAGTACTTTGGGAGACTGAAATAGGAGGATAGCTTGAGCCCATGAGTCCTAGATCAGCCTGGGCAACATAGTGAGACCCGTTCTCAAAATCATTTTGATGTGTTTTAACTGGAAATTCTAACTGTAGCCCTTCTCAATGTACCAGGCTAAAGGATTTTTTTTGTTTTGAGACGGAGTCTTGCTCTGCCACCCATGCTGGAGTGCAGTGGCACGATCTTGGCTCACTGCAACCTCTGCTTCCCAGGTTCAAACAACTCTCCTGCCTCAGCTGCCTGATTAGCTGGGACTACAGGTGCATAGCACCATGCCTGGCTAATTTTTTTTGTATTTTTAAAAATATATTTCTTTATAAAGATGGGGTTTCACCATGATGGCCAGGCTGGTCTTGAACTCCTGACCTCAGGTGATCCACCCACCTCAGCCTCCAAAAGTGCTAGGATTACAGTCGTGAGCCACTGTGCTGGGCCATTTTTTTGTATTTTTAGTATAGACAGGGTTTCATCGTGTTAGCCAGGCTGGTCTCGATCTCCTAACCTCCTGATCCACCTGCCTCAACCTGGCCAAGTGCTGGGATTACAGGCTGAGCCACTGCGCCCCGCTGGAAACATATATATATATATATATATATGTTTTTTTTTTTTTTTTTGAGATGGAGTCTCAGTCTGTCGCCAGGCTGGAGTGCAGTGGCAGGATCTCGGCTCACCACAACCTCCGCCTCCCAGGTTAAAGCAATTCTCCTGCCTCAGCATCCCGAGTAGCTGGGACTACAGGTGCCTGCCACCACGCCCAGCTAATTTTTGTATTTTTTGTAGAGATGGGGTTTCACTATGTTGGCCAGGATGGGCTTGACCTTGTGATCCGCCCGCCTCGGCCTCCCAAAGTGCTGGGATTACAGGCATGAGCCACTGCGCCCGGCATATATATATATTTAAAAAGGCTGGCTTGCCTTCCCTTACTTCCTTCCTTCTTTCCCTCCTTCCCTCCCTCCCTACCTCCCTCTTTCCTTCCCTCCCTCTCTCCCTCCCTCCCTTCCTTCCCTCCTTTCTTCCTTTCTTCCAAGACAGAGTCTCATTCTGTGGCCCAGGCTGCAGTGCATTGAATTTTAACTGGAAATTCTAATCTAGCCCTTCTCAATGTACCAGACTGAAAGATCTATTTTTTTTAAAGGCCTGCTTGCTTGCCTGCTTTCTCCTTCCCTCCCTCCCTTTTTTCCTTCTTTCCTTCCTTCCTCTCTTCCTTCCTTCCTTCCCTCTGTCTCTCCCTACTTCCCTCCCTCCCTCCTTTCTTACTTTTCTTTCTTTCTCTCTCTCACTCTCTCTCTTTCTCCTCTTTCTTTTGTTCTTTCGTTCTTTTCCTTCTCATTCTGCCACCCAGGCTGGAGTACACTGGCATGATCTTGGCAAACTATAACCTCCATCTCCCAGGTTCCAGCAATTCTCCTGCCTCAGTCTCTTGAGTAGCTAGAATTACAGACACGTGCCACCATGTCTGGCTAATTTTTTTGTATTTTTTTTTATAGAGATGGTATTTCACCATGTTGGTCAGGCTGGTCTCAAACCTCTGACTTCATGATCCACACACCTTGGCCTCCCAAAGTATAGCGATTCTCCTACCTCAGCATCCCGAGTAGCTGGGACTACAGGTGCCTGCCACCACGCCTAGCTAATTTTTGTATTTATTGTAGAGATCGGGTTTCAGGTGTGAGATGCTGCTGGGATTACAGGTGTGAGATGCCACACTGGGCCTTATGTGTAAATTGTAAAGAATTCGTCTTTGGGCCAGGCGCGGTGGCTCAAGCCTGTAATCCCAGCACTTTGGGAGGCTGAGGCGGGTGGATCACGAGGTCAAGAGATCGAGACCATCCAGGTCAACATGGTGAAACCCCATCTCTACTAAAAATACAAAAAAAAAAAAAAAAAAAAAAAAAAATTAGCTGGGCATGGTGGCGTGTGCCTGTAATCCCAGCTACTCAGGAGGCTGAGGCAGGAGAATTGCCTGAACCCAGGAGGAGGCGGAGGTTGCGGTGAGCCGAGATCGTGCCATTGCACTCCAGCCTGGGTAACAAGAGCGAAAACTCCGTCTCAAAAAAAAAAAAAAAAAGAATTCGTTTTTGTTGAGCCATATTTTACCCACATAGGGATGTTTTTTGAGACTAAAGTACTCTCTTTGTACTTCCTAATCAGACCCCTCCAATAGTTTCTAATAAGTTAAAATAAAATCCAATCTTCTCATTTATTTTGTAAGGCATTACGATAGGTCGTCCATGGACCCTTCCAGCTTTATCTGCTTTCCCCCACTCACACACACAGTCATCCCAGGATCAGCCGGGTTTTTGTTTGCTTTGCTTGTTTGTTTTTTGAGACGGAGTCTTCCTCTGTCACCCAGGCTGGAGTGCCGTGGTGCAATCTAGGCTCACTGCAACCTACGCCTCCCAGGTTCAAGCGATTCTCCTGCCTCAGCCTCCCTAGTAGCTAGGACTATAGGCGCCCACCACCACGCCCGGCTAATTTTTGTATTTTTTCGGGGGTGGGGGGGCGTGTTTCACCATGTTGGCCGGACTAGTCTCGAACTCCTGACCTCGTGATCCACCCGCCTCAACCTCCCAAAGTGCTGGGATTACAGGCGTCAGCCACCTTGCCCGGTCGAGTTGTAGCTTCTAACGCTTCCTATATTTCCTATTGCCGGGCTCGGTTTGGTGTAGACTCCTTACAGTCGTATCAGATCTTAAAGCATCAGTACCGTTCTGGGCCCCATTCTCCAGGTGCAGAGACTGAAGCCCAGGGCAATCAAGTAACAAGTAACTTGGTCACACGGTATTCAGTACATTTTCCTTGAACGACTGAATATGCCTGTGGGGTGTTTCGTGGCCCTGGCATATAGTAGGTACTCACTAAGTTTTCACTAAGTGAAGAAATAACTATTCTGTGCATTTTGTGACTGTTTATCCTAAGAGTTCCCCCGGGGCCTGCCCCTTCCCCTAAGCCCCGCCCCCTCGAGCTGGCAATGGCCCATCCCTGTTTCATGTTGTATCGCTCCTCTTTCGATAGCCAATGGCCGACGCCCTGCTGAAGTCCCGCCTCTTGTAAAGGCCAAGGCCTGCTTCCTACCTTGAGGCGCTTCTCTTATGGTATCCAACGGCTTGCAGCTCTCCTTTAAGCCCCTCCTCCTGAGGGAGTTAGGCTGTCAATGACCCGCCCCCTGCGTTGACCGATTGGCCTTCTTTATCTAAGGTATCCAATGTTCTGCCCCACTGATATCCTCTTCTCTTGTGGCGGTTTATGTCCCGCCTCTCTCCCTTAAGCTCCACCCCTTCACTTCTTTAGCGCCTCTGTTTGTCTCCTCCCACATTTTCCCTTTCACCTCCCATAACCTCCCATTAGGTCTCTGGGTTACGCCCCTTGGGTCTGCCCGTTATCCAATCCCGTTAACTGTTCTGCTCCAACCCTTGTTCTCATTGGTCGCCGCGCTGCTCTGTCCCCCGCACGTGGTCCTGAACGACGGCTTTGTCGGCGCGTGACGGCCGGAGGGCTGAACTTCCGGTGGCGCAAAGCCCAATAAGCGCGTGCCGGCCGGCTGCCCAGGCGGCCGCCCCCGCCCCCTCGGCGTCCGTCTCCCGCCCCCGGCTTCGCCTCCTCTGCCGCCGCCGCCGACGCCGCCGCAGCCGCTACTGCCGCTGCCGCCGCTTCTCGCGGCCTGGGCCTCTCGCCATCAGCATGCCACACGCCTTCAAGCCCGGGGACTTGGTGTTTGCTAAGATGAAGGGCTACCCGCACTGGCCAGCCCGGGTGAGGTCGCGCGGAAGACTGGGCCGGTGGGGGGGGGGGTGGGGCAGCGGGGGCCCCGGGCCGGAGGCAGGCGCGCACCGGGGGACAGCGGACGTCTGGCGCTTGAAGGAGCCGTGCCTCGGGGGTCTGGGGGGCCTGGGGTGTTCGGGGCCTGCAGGGACCGCGCCCCAGGGGTCTGGGGGGTCCTGGGCCTCAGGGAGCCGGGCCCTGGGAATCTGGGGGTGTTCAGGGCCTGCAGGAGCCGCGCCCTGGGGTCTGGGGGTGTCCAGGGCCTGCAGGAACCGCCCTTTGTGGGGCTGGGGGTGTCCGGGGCGTGCCGGAGCGGCGCCCCTGGCGTCTGTGGGGGGTTCTAGGTTGCACGGAGTCACGTCTTTGGGGCCTTGGGGTGTCGGCAGTCTGCAGGAGACGGGCTCTGGGGGTCTGGGGTGCCCGGGGCCTGCAGGAGCCTCACCCCGGGGTCTGGGTGTCTTGGACCTCAGGGAGCCGCGTCCTGGGGTTCTGGGGGTGTCCGAGGCCTGCAGGAGCCGCACCCCGGGGTCTGGGGCCCTTGTGCCTCAGGGGTCCGTGCCTAGGGGTTCTGAGGATGTCTGAGGCCTGAGAGACTCTCGCCCTTGGAGAATGGGAGTTTTGGGACTCAGGGAGCCGCGTCTTTGGAGTCTGGGGGTGTCCTAGACCTGAAGGACTGCGCCCTTGGGATATGGGGGTTTGGGGGTATCTGGGGCCTGAAGGAACTGTCCACCAGCGGTCTTGGGGTCCTGGGCCCAAGGAAGCTGTGCCCTGGGGGTCTGGGGGTGTCTGAGGCCTGAGAAATTCTTGCTCTGGGGGAATGGGGGTTTTGGACCTGAGGGAGGCATGCCTTGGGGATCTGGGGGGTGTCCAGGGCCTGAGGTTGCCACGTCTTGGAGGTTTGGGGGTGTCCGAGGCCTGAAGGAGCTGCATGCCAACGGTCTGGGGATGCTGGGCCAGAAGAAGCTGTGTCCTGGGGATCTAGGGGTGTCTGGGGCTTGAGAAACTCTCCCCCTGGGGGTCCTGGGCCTGTGGGAGCTGCCCTCTGGGGCTCTGGTGGTGTCCTGGGCCAGAGGGTGCCATGCCTTGTGTATCTGGGGGTGTCCGGGGCACCAGGGCCTCAAAGAGTCACGCCCAGGGTGTCTGGGAGGGTCTGGGACCTGAGGGACTCTCGCCTGAGGGTCTAGGGGTCCTAGGCCTGAGGGCTCAAGGCTCAAGTTTGAGCAGAACTGGGGAACTTGAGATTTGAGGCCAGTGGTGAAATGTGATGGGAGGGGGGTGCCCAGGCTAAAGCACTCCCTTGTGGAGAAGCCCAGTTTTGAGAGGCTGGGGGGCTGACGGCCATGTGCTAGGGGTCCAGAGTTGGTGGATGCAGCTATCTGGGAAGGTTAAGGGTCAAGGCCAAGGGAAGCCGGGACCCCTGAGTGAGGGACTGTGTGTGGGGGAGTGGGGCTGGGGTCTGTTCACAGGTTCACTGTGGCTCCGGTAACCGGACCTTAGAATGAAGTTGGCGTTGGGCCTGTTGGGGGACCCTGGGGACTGGCCCCCTGTGGGGAGGAGGACATAGAAGCTGGTTTTGGGGAGATTTGAGGGTGGGGTGGTCCAACCCCAATGCTTGAAATGGAGACAGCCCTGGGCCCAGGGAGGGGGTGCACATCTGAGGGAAGGGGCTGGCCGAGGGGACCTTGGGTGCCCCTTTAGAGGAAGCTGGGGTCCTCAGGACCTGGATGGTTCCAGGTAACCTGGACTGAAGGATGTCCTGGTCTGAAGGATGTCCCATGTCTGGGAGGTCCAGATATGCGGGCGGGTGAGTTCCAGGCCCTGAGAGGGGAGCAGGGACCCCAGGCAACTGTCATCTCCAGGTCTCAGGAATAAGTCTCCCAAGACTGAGGTTGGTGGAATCTGCCCGATAGGAGTGAGGAATTTGGCACGGGGTGGAAAGCTGGGGCAGCAGGGAGGGGCCATGGAGGGGGAGGCCACACGATGCCCAGAATGAGAACCATCCCAGGTCTGAAGCTGGCGCTGCTGCTGCCGCTAGGACTGTGGGTGGGTCCTGGGTGAGGCAGGAGAAGCAGCAGCCCTGGGAGGCATGCCGGGCTGGTCCTCCGGCAGACAGATTGGGATGCTTCTGGCGGGAGAGGGATGCTGGGCCTGGCTGCCCATGGCCGAGCCCAGGGGCCAGGGACTCTGAGAAAGTAGCTCAGAGGAGACCTGAGTGAGAAGAAAGCTGGGTGAGTGGGGCAGGGAAGATCAGGGGCCCCCAGAAGCTGGAGACATGGATGGGGAAGGAATGCATTGGGACTGGAGAAGCTCCTCCAGCCTGATGTGCTGGCACTGACTTTGTTGGGAGAGACCAGAGCAATGCAACTTCACAGGGATTTGCTCCCTTTCCCAGCTCTCCTCTTCCCAGACCACTCGCTTTTTTCTCCCCCGTCCCCCCTTCTCCAGCCGGCTCTCCAAGTACCTGATTGGAAGTGAAGGGGCTGCTAGCCTCCTGTGGGGAGGTGACTGACAGCTGCTGTAGCCCATGGGCCTGCAGGGAGAGGGTGGGACTTCCTGGATGCTCAGGGCCGGCTCTTGCAGCCCACCCCCCACCCTCTGCATCCTTGGAGCTGCCAGCTGCATCCTCTGGGGGACCGCCCGCAAGCTCCTCTTTGCGGGAGGGGTCCCTAGGGAAGGTCCTGGGAGTCCATAGATGCTGAACCTGGCCCCTCCCCCTGGTTGCTTCAGAGGGCCAGATCTGACTTTGCTCAGGTGGACCACCTGACCTGGGGCCAGCTCTCTCCCTGGGGTGGGGGGAGATCTCTCTGGGTGGAGTACAGCTTTGCTCCTCTTGGGAAGGGGCTGCTGCTTCCTGGGTTGACGTCTCCCCTCCTCCCATGTACTTTGCCCCGAGCCCTGTGGCTTGTTTCTTGGTGATCTCCTGGGTCACTGGGTGAAGCCACCCCTGACTGGCCTCTCACTGCAGATCGATGACATCGCCGACGGCGCCGTGAAGCCCCCACCCAACAAGTACCCCATCTTTTTCTTTGGCACACACGAAACGTAAGTGTCCCCTGCTGGGGCTTGGTTTTCTCCTCTGGTGCTTCCCGGGGTGGCCTCACTGACCTGGGACTGGCCCCTGACTCCCTTTTCCAGAGCCTTCCTTGGACCCAAGGACCTGTTCCCCTACGACAAGTGTAAAGACAAGTACGGGAAACCCAACAAGAGGAAAGGCTTCAACGAAGGGCTGTGGGAGATCCAGAACAACCCGCACGCCAGCTACAGTGCCCCTGCGGTGAGTACCCAGTGTGGAGCGTCAGCCTGAAGGGGGCCTCTGAGGGAAGAGAGGCTGCCAGGTCAGGGGCTCTCCCCCAGGCACTATGGACATCTGCACTTGATCGCTCCCTGTGGTGGGGCGTTCTGGGCCCAGGAGGTGCTGAGCAGTGTCCCCACTCCATTCATGACGACAGGTGTCCCCAGACATTGCCCAATGTACCCTGGGTGGAGGGGGTGCAGTCAGCCCTGGTGAGAACCCCTGCTCTAGAATCAGCCCAGATTTTTTTTTTTTTTTGAGACGGAGTCTTGCTCTGTCACCCAGGCTGCAGTGCAGTGGCGCGATCTCAGCTCACCGCAGCCTCTGCCTCCCAGGTCCAAGTGATTCTCCTGCCTCAGCCTCCCGAGTAGCTGGGATTACAGGTGCCTACCACCACACCTGGCTACTCTTTTTTTTTTTTCTCCTCTGAGACGGAGTTTCACTCTTGTTACCCAGGCTGGAGTGCAATGGCGCAATCTCGGCTCACCGCAGCCTCCGCCTCCTGGGTTCAGGCAATTCTCCTGCCTCAGCCTCCTGAGTAGCTGGGATTACAGGCACGTGCCACCATGCCCAGCTAATTTTTTGTATTTTTAGTAGAGACAGAGTTTCACCATGTTGACCGGGATTGTCTCGATCTCTTGACCTCGTGATCCACCCGCGTCGGCCTCCCAAAGTGCTGAGATTACAGGCGTGAGCCACCGTGCCCGGCCCACCTGGCTTTTGTATTTTTAGTAGAGACGCGGTTTCACCATGTCGGCCAGGCTGGTCTTGAACTCCTGACCTCAAGTGATCTGCCCGCCTCGGCCTCCCACGGTCTTGGGATTATAGGGATGAGCCACTGCGCCCAGTCAGTCCAAGTTTCTAACAGAGTGTTGTCATAGTGCTCATAAAACCTTTTATTTTCTTAGGAAGACATTTTTTCTTTGAGAACACCCCCCTCTTTCACTGGTACTGCAGATTTTAGAGGAGTGTAAAAGGCCGTAGTTTATAGATGTGAGAGTTCTCAGTCAGGTGGAAAAAAACACCGAGAATCAGATGACATCTCGCTGGCAAATGGGCGTCTGGCAACATTCATGGAAAGGAAGGAACTGAGAAAAGTGGAAGCTGAATTGCTAAAAGGCCATGGAGGGATGGGAGAAGGGTGCCTTCCTCTGAGTATTTTGGGGTGAGATGGGGAGTGGGGAAACTGAGCTGGGGTTCTTTCCTCTGCTTTAGCCACACTGCTTTTGAGGTTTCTGTGAGAGGCTGGGGGCCGGGGGTAGCCCAGGCTTAGCAGGGGCGCACATGAAGTTGGTGAGGAGGCCCCGGGAACTGACCACAGGCTAGGGAAAGCTTGGCCGCTGGGGAGCAAAAGGACACCCGAGGTGGTCTGAGCCAAGGAGGGCAGGAGGGGCCCAGCCGTTGGCCTTTGCAAGTGGAGGTTGGAGTCTTTGTGGTGCCTGGTCCTGCTTGCGAACCTGGGGTCTTGAAGTGGCCTGTCTGTGCCTCTCCTTCGTCCTTGTGCTGGGTGGCACTTGTGAGCATTTGCTCCTGGATCTGCAGACGCTTCGATGTTGACACCTGCCATGCGCACGTGCTATGCTGGGGACCAGGAACACGGGATGAGTCAGGCACAGTCCTTGCCTTCTGGGAGCTCACAGTCCGGAACTCAGGACTCATTCAACAGATGTCTCTTGAGCGCTGAGGATCCGGCAGCGCCTTCTCAGGGGGCGGGGGCCTCGCTGATGTTGCATGTTGCTGGTATTTTACGCTGACACCCATGATGTGTCTAGGAGACTGAGGCTTCCCTGGTTTTGACACTTGCCATCTTTCCCCAGGCCGTGCCTGTCCCCAGCCTGGATGGGTAGGTCGGAAATCCTTCAAGGTAGTTGAGTTTCACTGGATCTTTTCCTGGCCCCAGGTCAGGTTCTCTTGGTTCTGTTCTGAGCTCACTACCTCCTGGTGAATCATCACACCATTTAATATTTATTGGACACGTGCAGCTTGCTAAGCTCTGTAGAGAGGCCTGTCCTCGAGGCAATGAAATTAAACAAGCCGTTCACAGATGAGAAGCAGCTTTAACTGAGGCCACTGCTGCTCTCAGCTTCTCTAGCCCATCTATGCTTCCAAATGCAATGTGTGTTTATGGCTCATGGTGGCTCAGGCCTGTAATCCCAGCACTTTGGGAGGCAGAGGTGGGTGGATCATGAAGTCAGGAGTCAAAGACCAGCCTGGACAAAATGGTGAAACCCTGTCTGTCCTAAAAATACAAAAAGTAGCCAGACATGGTGGCGCACGCCTGTAACCCTAGCTACATGGGAGGCTGAGCCAGGAGAATTGCTTGAACCAGGGAGAGCAAGACTCTGTCTCACCAAAAAAAAAAAAAAAGAAAGACAGATGCAGATCCCTGGGCCCTTCTTCTAGAGGCGCAGGTTTTAATCATGCAGGTGGGAGCCTTGAAGTTTTACTTGCCAAGTTTTGTCCTGGATGCTTATGTTTTTTTATTTTCCTTTTTTTTTTTTGAGATGGAGCCTGATCCTGGCTCACTGCAACCTCCACTTTCCCGGTTCAAGCAGTTCCCCTTCCTCAGCCTCCTGAGGTGCTGCGATTATAGACACCCACCACCAGGCCCAGCTAATTTTTTTGTATTTTTCATAGAGTCAAGGTTTTACCATGTTGGCCAGGCTGGTCTCGAACTCCTGACCTCGTGATTCGTCCACCTCAGCCTCCCTAAGTGCTGAGATTACAGCCGTAAGCCAACGCCTGGCCCTTTTTTTTTTTTTTTTGAGACACAGTCTCGCTCTGTCACCCACAATGGAGTGCGGTGGTGTGATCTTGGCGCACTGCAGCCTCTGCCTCCCTGGTTCAAGCAGTTCTTCTGGTTCAGCCCCCTAAGAACTAGGATTACAGCTGCCAACAGCCACACCTGGCTAATTTTTGTATTTTTGTAGAGACGGGGTTTTCACCATGTCGGCCAGGCTGGTCTTGACCTCCTGACCTCAGGTGATCCACCCACCTTGGCCAGTGTGCTGGGATTACAGGCCTGGGCCACCGGGCCAGGCCTGTTCTGGATGCTTCTGATGTAGCCAGTACACGTGCCAGCTTTTGGAAGCACAGCTTTATGGGAATCTGAGTAGTTTCTTTTTTGTTTTGAGACAGGGTATGACTCTCGCCCAGGCAGTCGTGGCTCACTGCAGTCTCAGCCTTCCAGGCTCGAGTGATCCTCCCTCCTCAGCTTCCTGAGTAGCTGGGGCTACAGGTGTGTGCCACCACGCCCAGCTAATTTTTGTTGTTTTTTCTTTGAGATGGAATCTTGCTCTGTTACCCAGGCTGGAGTACAGTGGTGCAATCTTGGCTCATTGCAACCTCTGTCTCCCAGCTTCGAGCGAGTCTCCTGCCTCAGCCTCCTGAGTAGCTGGGACTACAGGCACATAACCCCATGCCCGGCTAATTTTTTGTATTTTTAGTGGAGATGGGGTTTCACCGTGTTAGCCAGGAAGGTCTCGACCCCCTGACCTCGTGATCCACTTGCCTTGGCCTCCCAAAGTGCTGGGATTACTTGTGAGGCACCATGCCTGGCTAATTTTTGTATTTTTAGGAAAGATAGTAGAGACGGGGTTTCACCATCTTGGCCAGGCTGAGTCTTATACACCTGACCTTGTGATCCACCTGCCTCGGCTTTACAAAGTGCTGGGATTACAGGCATGAGCCACCGCGCCTCACCTTTTTTTTTTTTTTTTTTTTAAGCTGGAGTTTTTCTCTTGTTGCCCAGTCTGGAGTGCAATGGTGTGATCTCGGCTCACCGCATCCTCCGCCTCTTGAGTTCAAGCGGTTGTCCTGCCTCAGCCTCCCGAGTAGCTGGGATTACAAGCATGTGCCACCACGCCTGGCTAGTTTTTGTATTTTTAGTAGAGATGGGATTTCTCCATGTTGGTCAGGCTGGTCTCGAACTCCCTACCTCAGGTGATCTGCCCGCCTTGACCTCCCAGAGTGCTGGGATTACAGGCGTGAGGAACTGCGCCTGGCCAAGGCTCATTCTTTTCTCTTTTTCTTCAAATTCCTTTTTACCATTTCTCTGTATATAGGCTCATTCTTTTAGCAGCCTTAGTGCAACTAGGAATACCACCGAGAGTGGACTGGAAGGCCTGGGTCCCATCCCCTCGAGAAGCCAGTGGCATTGCCTTTTGGTCCTCACAGTAATCTTGAGAGTGGCCCAGGTGCGAGGTATTTGCTCCATTGACGGGGCAGAATGAGACTCCAGGATTTGCTCAGATGGGCGGATCATGGTGGCTCATGCCTATAAACTCAGCACTGTGGGAGGCCAAGCGGGGGCAGATCACTTCAGGTCAGGAGTTCGAGACCAGCCTGGTCAACATGGCGAAACCCTGTCTCTACCAAAACTACAAAAGCTAGCTGGTCTCACGCCTATAATCCTAGCACTTTGGGAAGCCAAGGAGGGTGGATCACCCGAGGTTAGGAGTTCGAGATGAGCCTGGCCAACACAGTAAAACCCGGTCTCTACAAAACAAAAATTAGCCAGGTGTGGTGGTGGGCAGCTGTAGTCCCAGCTACTTGGGAGACTGAGATGGGAGAATCACTTGAACCTGTGAGACAGACGTTGCAGTGAGCTGAGATCGCGCCATCGCACTCCACCCTGAGCAACAAGAGTGACACTCCATCTCAGAAAGAGAAAAAAGTGGGAGCTGAGACCAAGAGCCAGCTGTATGGGCAGGTGGGCTGGTAGCCAGTCCTGGCTGTGCCCCGTGCTCACTGGGATTCTTGAACATTGAGCTGTCCCCCCTCAGATGTCCCCCCTTTCTGAGCCTCAGTTTCCTTTTCTTCTTCTTTTTTTTTTTTTGAGACTGAGTCTCACTCTGCTGCCCAGGTAGGAGTGCAGTGGTGTGATCTCAGCTCACTGCAGCCTCCACCTCCCGGGTTCAAGTGATTCTTGAAGGAAGTGGCCTTCCTAGTAGCTGGGATTACAGGTGTCTGCCACCACACCCGGCTAATTTTTGTATTTTCAGTAGAGATTTCACTATGTTGGCCAGGCTGGTCTCGAACTCCTGACCTCAGGTGATCCTCCTGCCTCGGCCTCTCGAAGTGCTGGGATTACAGGCGTGAGCCACTGTGCCTGGCCCTTAGTTTCCTCATCTTGAGGATTTGGTAGTGCTGGCCTCTCAGTGGGCTCCTGGGAGAATCCGGTGAGAAGATGCACGTTGACACTTGGGAAGCGCTCTGGGGAGTGGTGGAGGGGATACTTGGGAACAGGGAGGCAGAGCTGGATTTGATCTTCCCACTTCCAATTTAGTCACCCACCTGCCCTTATCCCCGAAGAGGCAGCGAGAGAAATGAGCTGTTCCCCTCACTTTCTCAGCCAGGGAGACTGGAAGTTGGCTGGCTTTGACCTTTTATTGCTGGGTTCTTCTCTGTACCTCCAGCATCTGTGTCCTCTGGACCTCTTGGTGTGAGTGAGATTTCCTAAAACCTTTGCTGTAAGGCAGTTCGACCCCAGGACACCCAGAGGTCCTGGCCTTATCCAAATGCACAATGTAGAGGAAGTCACTTCCCTCCCAGAGACTCAGTTTCCCCACCTGTGGGACATGTGCAGTTTTCCCAACTGCCTGATGGGGCTGCAGAGGCACAGAGTGGGTCACAGTTGGTCAAAAGCAAGGAGGGGTTTGTTTTTTTGTCTGTTTTTTCTGGAGACGGACTCTTGCTCTGTTGCCCAGGCTGGAGTGCAGTGGCGCGATCTTGGTTCACTGCAGCCTCTGCCTCCCGAGGAGCTGGGACTACAGGCGTGTGCCACCACGCTCTGCTAAGTGTTGTATTTTTTAGTAGAAATGGGGTTTCGCTATGCTGGCCAGGCTGGTTTTGAACTCCTAACCTCGTGATCTGCCCGTGTCAACCTTCCAAAGTGCTGGAATTAAGGGTGTGAGCCACTTTGCCCAGCCAGAGAAGCCTTTTTAATGAGGAGCGGCTGTGGTCCAGGCTATGCCAAGGCCGACCGTGCCTCTCCGGGCTACAGTTACTCACTGTGTGACCCTGAGCTGTTAGTGAACCTCTCTCTGCCTTTTTCCTCATCTGCAAAATTGGGCTGGTCACTCCCAGCGGTTACATGGGGCATTGATAGTCCCACAACTGGCCATGGCTCCTAGGTTACTGGAACTCACCAGCTCCTCCTGCGTAAGATTCTGGGGCATCGGGTGGGGCTGGGTAGAGGGGGCCACCAGGAAGAAGCCTGGGTCTCCTCTCTGAGCCGCTTCTCCCCACCCCTAGCCCTTCCCTCCTTACCAGGGATGCTCCAAAGAGAAATCCCAGGTGTGTGAACCCTCCCCCGAAGACTCTAGGAGAGGCGTGGTGGAGACTCACCTCGAGAGCGTTATTACTCTCAGCGTTCTCCGTTAGGGGCCTGACCTACTTAGTCTTACCTTTTTAATCTTGTCAAAAATTATACAGACGGGGCCCTGTCACTGTGCCACGGGCCACGACGACACAAGGGAGATAGAACGTGCTCACGGCTGAGCAGCGGGGGCGCCGCCACACCCGGTTTTCATTTTCCTGGTGTGCCGAGTGGGGACCGTTAGCCTGCATCAGTGTGTGGAAGATGGGGTGCGCCTGCTATGGGCTGCTGGCCAGGGAGGCAGCTGGGAAACTGAGGAAGGGCCGTGGTTCCCTCCTCCTGGCCCTCTCTCCTGACCAGCGCTGATGCCCACATTCCTCAGCCCCCACTTCCGTTCTGTCCCAGCATCCCTGCTTGCACTGGCGTAGCCTGTACCGTGTCCTCCCTACTCCCTCTGGCCCGGCCACAACACCCAGGCACAAACTTGGACCTCACTCTGCCTGTCCTTCTTGGCCTCACTGCCTGTGAGCCCCGTGACATGCCTCTCACCTGTTCTCACACCCTCATCTTCTCCGCCTTGCTGTCTCCTGGCCACCGTGTGTGCCCACTGCAGCCTGTGTGTCACATGCCATCTTGGTCATCACACCAGGAGAATGCGGCTTTTCTGTTTCTTTTTTTTTTTTCTTTTTTGAGACAGTCTTACTTGTCGCCCAGGCTGGAGTGCAGGGGCACCATCTCAGCTCACTGCACCCTCCACCTTCCGGGTTCAAGTGATTCTCTTGCCTCAGCCTCCTGAGTAGCTGGGACTACAGGCACGCACCACCACACCTGGCTAATTTTTGTATATTTAGTAGAGACAAAGTTTCGCCACGTTGGCCAGGCTGGTCTCAAACTCCTGTCCTCAGGTGATCCGCCCGCCGCGGCCTCCCAAAGTGCTGGGATGACAGGCGTGAGCCACCGCACGCGGCGGCAAGCATTTCTTGACCTCGTGCCGTGGTCTGGGCGCTGCCCTAGGTGCTCTACCTCCACGTCCACGTCTTCCTGGTCACAGGCCTCTGAGGTCAGAACAGCCATCCCCATTGCCGAGATGTGTCACCGAGGCACAGAGAGGTTGAAGTCACTTGGTCCAAGTTTAACCCTGAAGCCTGTGGCCCGAACCCAGTGCCCACCATACTTGAATCCATCTCACTCTCCTGCCTTTGTTTTTCGGCCTTTCTGGGCCTCAGTTTCCCCATTTGTAAAGCCAGGAGACTGCACCCTGACGTTCAGGGTCTTGCGTGTGGTTTGTGTCCTCTGGGTCATGGTCCTGATGGGGAAATCCACTCAAGATGGGTGGTGACGCGCGGTCTCTGCCCGACTCCCACAGCCAGTGAGCTCCTCTGACAGCGAGGCCCCCGAGGCTAACCCCGCCGGCGGGAGTGACGCTGATGAGGACGATGAGGACCGGGGGGTCATGGCTGTCACAACGGTGACCGCCACAGCTGCCAGCGACAGGATGGAGAGCGACTCGGACTCAGATAAGAGCAGCGACAATAGTGGCCTGAAGAGGAAGACGCTGGCGCTAAAGGTAGGGGAGGACCGTGGTGGGCTGGCCCTTCCTCCTCTCGCTCTGATGCCCGCCTGGCAGCCTGCTCTCCCTCCCCTGTCCTTTTTTTTTGAGACAAGGTCTAACTCTCACCCAGGCTGGAGCGTAGTGGTGCGATCTTGGCTTACTGCAGCCTCTGTTTCGTGGGTTCAAGTGATTCTCCTGCCTCAGCCTCCCTAGTAGGTAGGATTATAGGCACCTGCCACCACGCCTGAGTAAGTTCTGTATTTTTAGTAGAGATGGAGTTTCACCATGTTGGCCAGTTGGTCTTGAACTCCTGACCTCAGGTGATCCACCTGCCTCGGCCTCCCAAAGTGCTGGCATTATAGGCGTTTGCCACCGCGCCCACGTCCGCCTTTCACTCTGTCACCCAGGCTGGTGTGTAGTGGCACCATCTCGGCTCACTGCAACCTCCGACACCCAGGTTCAAGCAGTTATCTTGCCTGAGCCTCCCCAGTAGCTGGGATTACGGGCAGCCGCTGCCACACCTGGCTAATTGTTTTGTTTCTGAGGAGTCTCACCGTGTCACCAGGCTGGAGTGCAGTAGCATGATCTCAGCTTACTTCAGCCTTTGCCTCCTGGGTTTAAGTCATTCTTCTGCGTCAGCCTCCCGAGTAGCTGGGGTTACAGGCGTGTGCCATCATGCCTGGCCAGTTTTGTATTTTTAGTAGAGACAGGGGTTTCACCATGTTGGCCAGGCTGGTCTCAAACCCTTGACCCTAGGTGATCCACCTGCCAAAGGATGGATGGCTCACACCTGTAATCCCAAAGTGCTGGGATTACAGGTGTGAGCCATGGCGCCCAGCACCTTTCTTTAACATAATTGTTTTTCAGTATGCATTTAAAAGAAAATTGAGTTCTAATCCACACACCATGAGATTTTTTCCTTCCTAAGTATGCAATCCAGTGGTTTTTAGTGTGTTCACGGAATTGTGCAATCATTACCATTATTCCAGGGGATTTCCTTCACCCCAAAAAGAAACCTGGTCGCCATCAGCTGTTGCCCTGCAGCCCCTCCTCTGGCCCCTGGCACCCACGCACCCCTGCCTGCCTCTGTGGAGGGGCCTGTCCTGGACATTTCATAGAGATGGGATCACACACTGCCTGGCCTTTGCGCCTGCCTTCCCTCACTGAGCGTGAGGTCCTCAGGTGCATCTGTGCTGCGGCCGGGCGGCCTCCATTCCTTTCCCTGGCTGGGTCAGATTGCAGTGTGTGGAGGGGACTAGGTGTGGTGACCCCTGTGTCCGTGGCCAAGTTGGGTGGTTTCCATTTTTGGGCTATTACAGATCAGGCTGTGTGAATATTTCTGTACCAGTTTCTGTGTGGATGTGTGTTTTCCATTCTCCTGGTATAATCTCTTCTGCCTTGTGACCACTTCTAACAGGTGCAGAAAGAAAGGACGAGATTCCAGCAGCAACTTCTTTTTTCTTTTTTTTTCCCTTTTGAGATGGAGTCTCCCTCTGTTGCCAGGGTGGAGTGTAGTGGCACTATCTCAGCTCACTGCACACCGCCTCCCGGGTTCAAGCCATTCTCCTCCCTCTGCCTCCCTAGTTGCTGGGTTTACAGGCTCCCTGCCACTACACCCGCCTCAGTTTTTGGTACTTTTAGTAGAGACAGGGTTTCTCCTTGTTGGTCAGGCTGTTATCAAACTCCCAACTCAGGTGATCCGCCCACCTGGTCTCCCAAAGTGCTGGGATACAGGCGTGAGCCGCCGCGCCCGGCCTACGTCTAACTATTTGGGTGCAGAAAGAAAGGAACAGATTCCAGCAGCAAATTATTTGGCTAGAGTAAGGTGGAGTTTGTATTATTTTTTGAAATAACGTTTGCTTTTGATTCTAAACTGATAAACCATGTTTATAGTAGGTACCTTGGAAAATAGAAAAGACATAGGGGAGCTGGAAAAACACCTGTAGCATACGAGGAGTTTCAGAGCCACGCAAAGGTTATTTCCGTGTGTGTGCGTGCGTGTGTGTGTGCGTGTGTGTGTGTGTGTGCGCGTGTGTGTGCGCGTGTGCGTGCGTGTGCGTATGTGTGCGTGTGTGTGTGCGCGCGCGTGTGTGTGCGTGTGTGTGTGCGTGCGTGCGTGTGTGCGTGCATGTGCGTGCATGCGTGTGTGCGTGTGTGTGCGCGCGCGTGTGTGTGCGTGTGTGTGCGCGCGCGTGTGTGTGCGTGTGTGTGTGCGTGCGTGCGTGTGTGTGTGCATGTGCGTGCATGCGTGTGTGCGTGTGTGTGTAGGGTACAGAATTGGCAGTATACCACACAATATGTGTTTGGTTTCCTTTTTACCTAATGCTGTATTTCCTTGTCATTACGTGTGGTTTCGTTTTATTTTATTTCTGGGACAGGATCTTGCTGTGTTGCCCAGGCTGGTGTGCAGTGGTGCAGTCGTAGCCCACTGTAGCCTCCAATGCCTGGGCTCAAGTGATCCTCCTCCTTCAGCCTCCCCTGTAGCTGGGACTAAGGCAGTCACTACTACATCTAGGTAATTATTTATTTTTGAAAGAAAAAAATACAGAAAAATATTTCTAAAAAATAGTTTTGTCGCTGGGTGCAGTGGCTCACGCCTGTAGTCCCAGCACTTTGGGAGACCAAGGCGGGCGGATCACGAGGTCAAGAGATCTAGATCATCCTGGCCAACATGTTGAAACCCCGTCTCTATTAAAAATACAAAAATTAGCTGGGCATGGTGGCTCAAGCCTGTAATCTCAGCACTTTGGGAGGCCGAGGCAGGTGGATCACGAGGTCAAGAGATCGAGACCATCCTAGTCAACATGGTGAAACCCCGTCTCTACTAAAAATACAAAAAATTAGCTGGGTATGGTGGCGCGTACCTGTAATCCCAGCTACTCGGGAGGCTGAGGCGGGAGAATTGCCTGAACCCAGGAGGCGGAGGTTGCAGTGAGCCGAGATCGCGCCATTGCACTCCAGCCTGGGTAACAAGAGCGAAACTCCGTCTCAAACAAAAAAAAAAATACATACATACATACATACAAAAATTAGCTGGGTGGTGGCACGCGCCTGTAGTCCCAGCTACTTGGGAGGCTGAGGCAGGAGAACTGCTTGAACCCGGGAGGTGGAGGTTGCAGTGAGCCAAGATCATGCCATTGCACTCCAACCTGGCGCCTGGTGACAAGAGTAAGACTCTGTCTCCAAAAAGAAAATAAAAAAGTTTTGTCTAGAGATGGGGTCTTGCTATATTGCCCGGGCTGGTTTCAAATTCCTGGGCTCAAGTGATCCTCCCACCTTGGCTTCCCAAAGTGCTGGGATTACAGGTGTGAGCCACTGTGTCTGGTCCGTGTTTGTTTGTTCGTTGTTTATTGAGACAGGGTTTCACTCTGTCACCCAGGCTGGAGTGCAGTGGCGTGATCTTGGCTCACTGCAACCTCTGTCTCCCAGGTTCAAGCAATTCTCCTGCCTCCCAAGTAGCTGGGACTACAGACGTGCGCCACCACACGCAACTCATTTTTGTGTCTTTAGGAGTGGTGGGGTTTCACCATGTTGGCAAGGCTGGTCTCGAACTCCTGACCTCAAGTGATCTGCCTGCCTCAACCTCACAATCTGTTAGGATTACAGGCATGAACCACTGCACTTGGACTTACTTCTTTATTTTTTAAATTAGTCCCCTTTGAAGGGACCATATTGTTTTTTTTTCTTTTTTGGAGACAGAGTTTTGCTCTTGTTGCCCAGGCTGGAGTGCAATGGTGTGACCTGGGCTCACCGCAACCTCTGCCTCCCGGGTTCAAGCAATTCCTCCCGCTCAGCCTCCCGAGTAGTTGGGATTACAGGCATGTGCCACCATGCCCAGCTAATTTTTGTATTTTTAGTAGAGACACGGTTTCACCATGTCAGTCAGGTTGATCTTAAAGTGATGACCTCAGGTGATCCGCTCACTTCGGCCTCCCAAAGTGCTGGGATTACAGGTGTGAGCCACTGAGCCCGGCCCATATTGTTTTAAAATGCAGATTTTGGTGGCTGAGCAGTAGTCTATGATGTGAATGCATTTTTTTTTTTTGAGATAGAGTCTTGTTCTGTTGTCCAGGCTGGAGTGCAGTGGCTTGATCTCTGTTCAGTAAAACCCCCACCTCCCGGGTTCAAGTGATTCTCCTGTCTCAGCCTCAGAACAGCTGGGACTACAGGTGCCTGCCACCACACTGTATTTTTGGTAGAGATGACGTTTCACCTTATTGCCCAGGCTGGTTTCGAACTCCTTACCTCAAATGATCAGCCTTCCTTGGCCTCCCAAAGTGCTGGGATCACAGGCATGAACCACCACGCCCAGCCTAAATTGGCCATTTTCAAGTGCACAGCTCAGCGGCATTAAGCACATTCATGAGGTGGTATACAACCATCACCCCCATCATCTCCAGAATTTTTTTTTTTTTTTTTGAGATAGAGTCTCACTCTGTCACCCAGGCTGGCGTGCAGTGGCGCGATCTGGGCTGACTGCATCCTCCGCCTTCTGGGTTCAAGCAGTTCTCTGCCTCAGCCTCCTGAGTAGCTGGGATTACAGGCGCCCGCCACCATGCCTGGCTAATTTTTGCATTTTTAGTAGAGATGGGGCTTCACCAGTTTGGCCAGGCTGGTCTTGAACTCCTGACCTCAGATGATCCACCCGCTTCGGCCTCCCAAAGTGCTGGGATGACAGGTGTGAGCCACCGCGCCCGGCCTACCTCCAGAACTTTCTTGTCTTCCCAAGCTGAAATGTCGTTCAGTGAAACACTCCCTCTCCGCCCTCCTCCGAAGCCCCTAGTGCCCCCATCCTTCTTTCTGACTCTGTGAGCCTGGTGGCTCTAGAGACCGCCTGTAAGACTGTGTCTTTCTGTGAGTGGCTGCTTTCCCCAAGGTTGAGGAGCCCTGGCTTTGATGAGGTTCTCACAGGCTTCTTGGCCCCCCAGGGGAGTTCTAGAGCTCATCCGTTGCGGGTGGTGGGCAGTCAGGTGGGGGCTTCCTGCCAGGAGCTGGGCCTTCCCGTCACTGAGCATTCAGGAGGTTCTCCTTGCAGATGTCGGTGTCAAAACGGGCCCGAAAGGCCTCCAGTGACCTGGATCAGGCCAGTGTGTCCCCCTCCGAAGAGGAGAATTCGGAAAGCTCATCTGAGTCAGAGAAGACCAGCGACCAGGTGGGCCAGCGGTCAGCTCTTGGGAGGGCAGGGAAGGGCGTTGGCCGCCGTGGGGCTGGTTCAGCTCACTTCTCCCCCAGGACTTCACACCTGAGAAGAAAGCGGTGGTCCGGGCGCCTCGGAGGGGCCCCCTTGGGGGACGGAAAAAAAAGGTAATGTGCACTTGACTGTTTCCCGTGCTCACTCATGGGGCACCTCTGTGGTTTCCAGCACTGTCCCCCGGGCAGTGGTGTGCCCTTTCTGATGGGATGGGACCCGGGCCACAGGGGACCCCAGAGGACCACGTCTGCCCTGAGCACCAGTGAAAAGTGCAGATTCCCAGTCCCACCGGGGCCCACCTTGCTATGGCCGCACTGCACCGGGAGCCCACTGTCCGATTTGCAGAGGGGGATTCTGGGATGTCAGCACTGGAAGGGAGTAGGGCAGTTCTGAGGCGTTTGTATGAGAGTGAGTGTGAGACCAAGCGGGGAGAGAGGGGACAGGTGTGTGTATGAGCGTACTGTGTGTGCGTGTTCTGTTTACGTGCATGGTATCCATGTGCTGTGTGTGTGTGTGCACGCTCACGCATGCATGTTTGCGATCATGTACATGTGTGGTGTGTGTGGAGATTGTGTGCCTGTGTTGTGTGTGCACATGTTCCTGTGTTTTGGTGCCTGTGTATGTGTGTTTGTATGCTGTGCCTCCCTTCTGTGTGCCCGTGTGTGCTGTGTTCTTGTGTATATGTGGTGCCTGTGTGTGTGCATGTGTGTCCCTGTGTGCATAGTGTGTGTGTCTGTATCCATCTTTCTGTGTGTGCATTGCATTGTTTTACTATATGTGTATGGTGTGTGTTTGTATCTTGCGTGTGGTCTGTGTGTATGGTATGTGTGTTTTTTGTGTTGTGTTTTTCTGTGGTGATTGTGCATGGTGTGTGTGGTATATGTGTTGACTGCGTTTCGTCTGTGTGTCTGGTGTGTTATCTGTGAGTGCTGTGTGTTGTTTTGGTATGTTTGCTGTGTTGTCTGTGTTTGTGTGGTGTGTGTGTTGTATGTGTGTTTGCTGTGTGTTATCTTTGTGTTTGTGTGTGCTGTGAGTTGTCTGTGTGTGGTGTTTTATGTGTTGTGTGTGTGTGTGCATATGGTGTGCCTGTGTGTGTGCATATGGTGTGTTGTCTGTGTATGGAATGTGTTGTCTGTGTATAGTGTGTGTGTGTTCTGTGTTTTTTTGGTGTTATATGTAATGTGTGGTGCATGTTGTCTGTGTGGTGTATATGTTTGTGTGTGTGTGGTGTGTGTTATCCATGTGTGTAGTGTGTGTGTTGTATGTGTTGTCTGTGTTTTGTGTGTTATACGTAATGTGTGGGGTGTGTGTTTGCATATGGTATGTGTTGTCTGTAGTGTGTGTTGTGTGTTGTCTATGTTTTTGGTGTTATACGTAATGTGTGGTATTTGTGTTTGCGTATGGTGTGTTGTGTGTGGTATGTGGTGCGTGTGTTTCTTCGGTGTGTTGTGTGTTGTATGTTGTGTGGTATGTGTTCTGTGTGTTTGTTGTGTGTGTGTTGCCTGTGTGTGGTGTGTTTCGTCTGTCTTGTGTGTGTCATCTGGTATGTTGTGTGTTGTGTGTGTTGTCTGGTATGTTGTGTGTTGTGTGCGTATTGCCTGTGGTGTATGTGGTGTGTGTGTTTCATCTGTGTGTTGTGTGTTGTCTGGTATATTGTGTGGTGTGTGTGTGTGTGTGTGTTGCCTGTGGTGTGTGGTTTGTCTGTGTTGTGCGTGTTGTCTGGTATGTTGTGTGGTGTGTGTGTGTGTTCCTGTGGTGTGTGGTGTTTTGTCTGTTGTGTGTGTTGTCTGGTATGTTGTGTGTTGTGTGTTGCCTGTGGTGTGTGTTTCATCTGTGTGTTGTGTGTTGTCTGGTATGTGGTGTGTGTGTGTTGTCTGTAGTGTGTGTTTCATCTGTGTGTTGTGTGTGTTGTCTGGTATGTTGTGTGGTGTGTGTGTGTGTGTTGCCTGTGGTGTGGTGTGTTTTGTCTGTGTGTTGTGTGTGTTGTGTCTGTGTTACCTGTGGTGTGTGGTGTGTGTGTCTGTAGTGTATGTTGTGTGTGTTTGGTATGTGGTGTGGTGTGTGTGTGTGTGTTGCCTGTGGTGTGTGGTGTGTTTCATCTGCGTGTTGTGTGTATTGTCTGCTATGTTGTATGTGTTGTGTGTTATGTGTTGTCTGGTATTTTGTGTGGTATCTGTGGTGTGTGTTGTGTGTGTGTTGCCTGTGGTGTGTGGTGTTTTGTCTGTGTTGTGTGTGTTGCCTGTGGTGTGTGGTGTGTATCTGTAGTGTGTGTTGTGTGTGTTGCCTGTGGTGTGTGTTATCTGTAGTGTGTGTTGTGTGTGTGTTGTGTGTGTTGTCTGGTATGTTGTGTGTGTTGTGTGTGTTGTCTGGTATGTTGTGTGTGTGTTGTTTGTGTGTTGCCTGTGGGGTGTGGTGTGTGTTATCTGTAGTGTGTGTTTGTGTGTTGTCTGGTATGTTGTGTGTGTGTGTTGCCTGTGGTGTGTGGTGTGTGTTATCTGTAGTGTGTGTTGTTTGTGTGTTTGGTATGTTGTATGTGTTGTGTGTTGTGTGTGTGTTGCCTGTGGTGTGTGGTGTGTGTTATCTGTAGTGTGTGTTGTGTGTGTGTTGCCTGTGGTGTATGGTGTGTGTTATCTGTAGTGTGTGTTGTGTGTGTGTGTGTTGCCTGTGGTGTGTGGTGTGTGTTATCTGTAGTGTGTGTTGTTTGTGTGTTGTCTGGTATGTTGTATGTGTTGTGTGTTGTGTGTGTTGCCTGTGGTGTGTGGTGTGTGTTATCTGTAGTGTGTGTTGTCTGGTATGTTGTGTGTGTTGTGTGTGTGTGTGTGTTGCCTGTGGTGTGTGGTGTGTGTTATCTGTAGTGTGTGTTGTTTGTGTGTTGTCTGGTATGTTGTATGTGTTGTGTGTTGTGTGTGTGTTGCCTGTGGTGTGTGGTGTGTGTTATCTGTAGTGTGTGTTGTGTGTGTGTTGCCTGTGGTGTATGGTGTGTGTTATCTGTAGTGTGTGTTGTGTGTGTGTGTGTGTTGCCTGTGGTGTGTGGTGTGTGTTATCTGTAGTGTGTGTTGTTTGTGTGTTGTCTGGTATGTTGTGTGTTGTGTGTGTGTTGCCTGTGGTGTGTGGTGTGTGTTATCTGTAGTGTGTTGTTTGTGTGTTGTCTGGTATGTTGTATGTGTTGTGTGTTGTGTGTGTGTTGCCTGTGGTGTGTGTTATCTGTAGTGTGTGTTGTGTGTGTGTTGCCTGTGGTGTATGGTGTGTGTTATCTGTAGTGTGTGTTGTGTGTGTGTGTGTTGCCTGTGGTGTGTGGTGTGTGTTATCTGTAGTGTGTGTTGTTTGTGTGTTGTCTGGTATGTTGTGTGTGTTGTGTGTTGTGTGTGTGTTGCCTGTGGTGTATGTGGTGTGTGTGTTTCATCGGTGTGTTGTGTGTTGTCTGGTATATTGTGTGTTGTGTGTGTGTTGTGTTTGTGTTGCCTGTGGTGTGTGTTATCTGTAGTGTGTGTTGTGTGTGTGTTGCCTGTGGTGTGTGGTGTGTGTTATCTGTGATGTGTGTGTGTTGTGTGTGTGTTGCCTGTGGTGTGTGTTATCTGTAGTGTGTTGTGTGTGTGTTGCCTGTGGTGTGTGGTGTGTGTTATCTGTGATGTGTGTGTGTTGTGTGTGTGTTGCCTGTGGTGTGTGTTATCTGTAGTGTGTTGTGTGTGTGTTGCCTGTGGTGTGTGGTGTGTGTTATCTGTGATGTGTGTGTGTTGTGTGTGTGTTGCCTCTGGTGTGTGGTGTGTGTGTTTGGTAGGGTACTTGGGGGTGAAGGCGGCAGAGCAGAGCAGCTTGTCTGGCGTGGCCTCCACACAAGATTCTGCACAAAGAAAAGATGTTTCCGCTGGAACCCGGGGTCTAAAGTCCCCCCACCCCGCGACAAGGAAGAGGAGATGAAAGGCCAGCAGCTGCCCGCGTGCCCAGGGCCGCCTGGGATCCGGGTTTCCATGTGGGTGGACGGGGCTGGGAGCCGGGGCGCGAGCTGAGGCCTGCAGAGCCTGGCGCTGGCCGGGGTGCAGGAGCTCCTCTGGCCGGTGCGCCCCGCTTCTCCCAGAGCGGCTCTTCGTGCTCAGGCCTGTCCCTGCTTCTCCCCAGAAGGCGCCGTCAGCCTCCGACTCCGACTCCAAGGCAGATTCGGACAGGGCCAAGCCTGAGCCGGTGGCGGTGGCGCGGTCAGCGTCCTCCTCCTCCTCCTCCTCCTCCTCCTCCGACTCGGAGGTGTCCGTGAAGAAGCCTCCGAGGGGCAGGAAGCCAGGTAGGGCCCTGGCGCTCGCTGTGTCTCCCTGCGGCCCGCACATCTCTTGGCCTGGCCCGTGCCCGGGCACACCCAGGCAGTCCCCTGGTCACTTGGAGCTCTGGGAGGGAAGGTCACCCCTCCTTTTTCTGCAGCCGAGAAGCCTCCCCCAAAACTCCGAGGGCGGAAACCGAAGCCTGAACGGCCTCCGTCCAGCTCCAGCAGCAACAGGTGGGTGCCGGGGCCGGGTCCCCTCTGGTGGCGGCTCCTCCATCAGCCGAGGGGCAGGGTGGGCTCCTGAGAAACGGAGGTCCCCAGCGGCCCCTTCTGTCCCCAGTGACAGCGACGAGGTTGACCGCATCAGTGAGTGGAAGCGGCGGGACGAGGCGCGGCGACGTGAGCTGGAGGCCCGGCGGCGGCGGGAGCAGGAGGAGGAGCTGCGGCGGCTGCGGGAGCAGGAGAAGGAGGAGAAGGAGCGGAGGCTGTGAGCGGGCCGAGCGCGGGGAGGCTGAGCGGGGCAGCGGCGGCGGCAGCAGCGGCGACGAGCTCAGGGATGACGATGAGCCCGTCAAGAAGCGGGGACGCAAGGGCCGGGGCCGAGGACCCCCATCCTCGTCCGACTCCGAGCCTGAGGCCGAGCTGGAGAGAGAGGTGAGCCCAGGAGGGCGGCTGGGACTCCCTGCCTTCACTCCACACCTTTGTTGAGCGCGTTCCAGGTTCCGGGACACAGATCAGGAAAGCAGTTCATGGGCCCAGAGACCCCTGTCCTGCAGGAGGGAGGGAGCTGGGCACGGTGGCTCACGCGTGTTATCCCGGTACTTTGGGTAATGAAATGAGAGGATTACTTGAGCCCAGTTCGAGACCAGCCCGGTTAAGATAGAGAGACCCCGTCTCTATACAAACCTTAAAACAATTAGCCAGGCATGGTGGTGTGTGCCTGTAGCCCCAGCACTCAGGAGACTGGGGCGTGAGGATTGCTTGAGCCCAGGAGTTGGAGGCTGCAGTGAGCGCTGATCCGTCCACTGCACTCCAGCCTGGGCCACAGAGCCCTGTCTCAAAACAAGGACAGGAGCTATACAGACGCCAGTGTGAGGGTGGTGTGTGCTGTTCCCGTGTGTGTGCTGCTAAGGAGGAGGGTAAAGTGTGGTATGGGGTTTCTGGGTTTTTTTCTTTTTTTTTTAAAGACGGGGTTTTGGCCGGGCGCGGTGGCTCACGCCTGTAATCCCAGCACTTTGGGGGGCTGAGGTGGGTGGATCACAAGGTCAAGAGATCGAGACCATCCTGGTCAACATGGTGAAACCCCGTCTCCACTAAAAATACAAAAAATTAGCTGGGCACGGTGGCACGTGCCTGTAGTCCCGGCTACTCAGGAGGCTGAGGCAGGAGAATTGCCTGAACCCAGGAGGCGGAGGTTGCGGTGAGCCGAGATCGCGCCATTGCACTCCAGCCTGGGCAACAAGAGCGAAACTCCGTCTCAACAAAACAAAACAAAGCAAACAAACAAAAAAAGAAAGACGGGGTTTCACCCTGTTGGTCAGGCTGGTTTTGAACTCCCGACCTCAGGTGATCCGCCCACCTTGGCCTCCAAAGTGCTTGGACTACAGGAGTGAGCCACCACGCCCGGCCTTCTGTTGTTTTTTTGAGTCCTGCTCTGTTACCAGGTTAGAGTGCTGTGGTGCGATCTCGGCTCACCTCAACCTCCGCCTCCCTGGTTCAAGCAATTCTCCTGCCTCAGCCTCCCAAGTAGCTGGGACTACAGGCATGTGCCACCACGCCCAGCTAATTTTTATATTTTTAGTAGAGACGGGCTTTCCCCATGTTGGCCAGGCTGGTCTCGAACTCCCAACCTCGTGATCCGCCCACCTCAGCCTCCCAAAGTGCTGGGATGACAGGTGTGAGCCACTGCACCTGGCCATGGTTTCTGTTTCAAATAGGCTAGACCTTGAAGGTGTGAGTAGACTCTCAAGGCTTGTGTTTGGGTTTAAGTGAGCCTCTGAATGCAGGGAAGGGATCTGTGACAACTCCTGGGAGGGGAAGCATTCTAGGCAGGAGAAACAGCTCATGTAAAGGCCCGGAGAACAGTGCCTGGCTTGCCAGAGCAACAGCGAGGTAGCCCCTGTGGCTGGAGCAGAGGGAGCGGAGAGAGAGGGAAAAGGGGAGAGGGGGGAGAAGATGGGGCAGGCTGTGCAGGACCATGTGGGCTGCAGGGAGGATTTGGGCTTTGACCCTGAGGGAAGTGGGAGCCATGGAGGGCAGTGGGCTGGGGGAGGACGGGCCCTCACTCAGGTGCTCTCGGTTGCCCTCTGGCTGCCATTGTATGCAGCTGGCAGGTGAGCATGGGAGCAGGTAGGAGGCCTCCTAGGGTGGCGACTGTCAGGCCTGTCCTGTACCACGTGTGGGGCTGTGGGCCCTCTTGCCCCTCTACCCTCCTGGAGATTCAGGCAGTATGGTCTGAATCCAGAGTGTGTCCTAGACTGGGCCCCTGGAACCCTGGACCCCACAGGATGGTGCCCATCGCGCCAGGCCTGCCTTCTTTGGGCAATGCAGAAAGAACGCCGTCTTCTCTCTGTCAGTCACTCCCTTCGTCACAGAAGGGGGACCAAACTCCTGGTGCGGGAGGCATTCCTGCCACAGCCACGGTGCTGGGCAGGTGGAGAGCAGGGGCTGTTCCTCCTCTTGGTGCTCCTCTGCTGGCTCCAGGAACCCCAGGATCCACTCAGGACCTGAGAAGCCACTACCAGGCACAGACCAGACACTGGGTCCTCCCCTCGTCCCCCCCATCCTGCCCCAGCACCTTCCAGCAGTGTGGAGGGTGGCAGGAAGGGTTGAGCTGTGTCTGCTAGTGGGACGGGTTGGGGGTCTGGGCAGTGCCCTCTTCCCACTCCTCCAGTGCTCTTTCCCTGACTGCCATAGGCCAAGAAATCAGCCAAGAAGCTACAGTCCCCAAGCACAGAGCCCACCAGGAAACCTGGCCAGAAGGAGAAGAGAGCACGGCCCGAGGAGAAACCACGAGCCAAGTGAGCCCTGCCCCCCTGCCTCCACACCCCAGGGGCCCTGCAGCCCGCAGCCCTCCCCCTCACAAGGGCAGCCTCACTTCCCAGCTCAGCCGGGATCTCATTGAAGTTCCTAGTTCTCGGGTTGTGTGGATTCTGTAGGAACCACTGCTGTGGGACTGGAGCCTTCCCTACCCCAGGGGTCTCCACCAGTGATGCTGCCCCCAGGGACACTGGGCCCCGTCTGGGGACATCTGTGGTTATCATGATTGGGGGTGCTCCTGGCAGGGGGTGAGTGGAGGCCAGGGACTCTGCTCAGTGCCCTGCAGTGACCAGGATGGCCCCACCCCAGTCTAGCCCCAATGTCCACAGAACAGAGGAGGAGGGAGGAACTGTCCCCCTGGCCTAGGGACTTGCATCTTGCTCCCCATGTGGTGGGGAGACAGAGCCCATCTGCCTGCTCACTTTCTAAATGGCATCTGGCCTTGGGGGGACAAACCTGCTTGAGAGAACATGGCAGGCGGGTACAGCAGTGGCGGGGTGCAGAGTGGCACGTGGCACTGAGCCTCAGTGATGGTCCCCCCGCCCCCCACATGTGTGTCACCCTTGAGGGCTTTTTCCTAGCTCGCTGACTCGGGTGGACGTAGCAGTCCTTGGCCACATGAATGAGGGAAAGAATCTTGGGATTTCTTTTTTTTTTTTTTTTGAGACAGAGTTTCGCTGTTGTTACCCAGGCTGGAGTGCAATGGCACGATCTCGGCTCACCGCAACCTCCACCTCCTGGGTTCAGGCAATTCTCCTGCCTCAGCCTCCCGAGTAGCTGGGATTACAGGCACGCGCCACCATGCCCAGCTAATTTTTGTATTTTTAGTAGAGACGGGGTTTCACCTTGTTGACCAGGATGGTCTCGATCTCTTGACCTCGTGATCCACCCGCCTCGACCTCCCAAAGTGCTGGGATTACAGGAGTGAGCCACCGCGCCTGGCCAGAATCCTGGGATTTCATAAGAGCCAGGGGAAAGGCTTGGCGTGTGGTCAGCTCGAGGCCTGTGGCCACCCTGATCTGCCCTAGGCCTAGGTCATGGTGGGTCCTCCACCCTCCTGTTTCCCGGGTTAGTTCCCAGGGCCTCCCAAAGGTTTCCTTCCGAAGTGGGTCTGGGTCTCCCTTTGTGCGCCAGCCCCTTGGTGGTAGGGAAGCAGTGGCTGGGCCCGAATGAGGGGACCGCCTCTCCGCAGGCCCGTGAAGGTGGAGCGGACCCGGAAGCGGTCCGAGGGCTTCTCACTGGACAGGAAGGTGGAGAAGAAGAAAGGTGAGGCCCGCCGCCCAGCTGTGCTCAGACCGAGTTAGCCGAGGGGAGCCGGGCAAGTCGGGGCGGGGTCGGCCTGTCCTGCCCGTCCCTAGAGAGGGTGCTCAGCACTTCCTCGGCCAGCCCAGGCGGGGGTCCCTGCAGGGATGGGGGCGGAGCATGCAGACCTGGGGCCCCCTGCAGGGGTGGGGGCGGAGCATGCAGACCTGGGGCCCCCATGTCAGCTCCTCCAGAGGCTCTTCCCTGCCCGGGCCCACGTGGTACTCTCTCTCCTGGCCCAGAGCCCTCTGTGGAGGAGAAGCTGCAGAAGCTGCACAGTGAGATCAAGTTCGCCCTGAAAGTCGACAGCCCGGTGAGACCCTCGGGGCCCTGGTCACAGAGCAGCCTCGGCCCTTGAGCCAATCAGTCCTCGCTGCCACCTCCTGGCGGGGCTCCCTTAGAAGTCTTGGGAAACTGAGGCAAAGCCAGGGTCCTGCAGGTGGGTGGGCCAGGGGTCCATGTTCCCATTGCTAATGAGCATGCGGGATCTCCTGGCCAAGAGCCCTGGGGGAGCCGGTCCTGACATGCAGCATCCAGCTTCCCCGGCAGGTGGTGCGTGGAGGCCCCCAGTGCTAACCCCACATTCCCAAGTATCTGTCTGTCCCTGGAGGTCCCCGTCAACTGGGCCTGGGTGGGGGACTGTTCTGCAGATTCAGCTTCCCTCAGGGAGAGCCCAAGATGTCGTCCTCTGTCTGCTGGGACCCCTGGGGACCCCTTGGCACCCCTTGGCCAGACCGTCCCCCTCACTCTTGTCCCACCCTGCAGGACGTGAAGAGGTGCCTGAATGCCCTGGAGGAGCTAGGGACCCTGCAGGTGACCTCGCAGATCCTCCAGAAGAACACAGATGTGGTGGCTACCTTGAAGAAGGTATGGCGGGAACCAGAGGTGCAGGGTGCAGGCTGGGGAGCTGGGAGCAGGTGTCTGCCCTGGGGCGCAGGCCCCCAGGGGGTTCCCGTTGGGCAGCCAGGAGGCCTCGGGCTGTTGGGTAGAAATGCCTGGCGCTGGCCGGGCATGGTGGCTCATGCCTATAATCCCAGCACTTTGGGAGGCCGAGGCAGTCACACCATGAGGTCTGGAGTTCGAGACTGGCCTGACCAACATGGTGAAACCCCGTCTCTACTAAAAGTAAAAAGTACCTGGGTGTGGTGGCGGGTGCGCGTAGTCCCAGCTCCTCAGGAGGCTGAGGCAAGAGAATCGCTTAAACCCAGGAGGTGGAGGTTGCAGTGAGCCCAGATCGCATCACTGCACTCCAGCCTGGTGACAGAGCAAGACTCCATCACAATAAAAACAAATCTCAGAGCTGTACTCCCGGGAGGTGCCTCCGGAGGGCGGCATTGCCAGGGGGTGGGGGGATGCTCAGGCCAGGGCTAGGGCCAGCCGCACTTGGGTGAGCCAGGCCTCTTCTCTTGGTGGCCAGATTCGCCGTTACAAAGCAAACAAGGACGTGATGGAGAAGGCGGCGGAAGTCTACACCCGGCTCAAGTCGAGGGTCCTGGGCCCAAAGATCGAGACGGTGCAGAAAGCAAACAAGGCCGGGACAGAGAAGGAGAAGGCCGAGGAGAAGCTGGCCGGGGAGGAGCTGGCCGGGGAGGAGGCCCCCCAGGAGAAGGCGGAGGACACACCCAGCACTGGTAAGGGGCAGGCAGGGTGGGCCCTGAACCTCGGTTTTCATTTCTCCGCTGAAGAAACAGGTGCTTTGCAGAACATTCTAGAAGGGGAGCACAGCTCTGTTCTCTGCCCCAAACCCACCAGTGTTGTGTCCCTTTAGGGGTCTCTGTGCAGACGGGGCAGCTAGTGAGGGGTGTTCAGGCCCCACTGTGTGCTGGGCAGCCAGGGTGCAGGCCACCTGGGGCTCACGCCGGAAGGGTGACAGGGACAGTGCATCACACACACCTTCACCGCTTCCAGGCTCAGGATGCCTGTGGATGGGGGGGCGCTCCGTGCAGTGAGGGCAGAGTCGGGGATTCTTCAGAGAGGCAGTCAGCGGAGGTTTGCGGGTGAGGGCCTTAGGGTGGGTGCCTTTGCTTGCCTGGTGGGCTGACAGGAGACGGGGCATGTCCCTCAGGGCTGCTGGGCTGGCATGGCTCCATTATGGGTGAGATGGGCGCGCTTGGGAAGGGGCTTCATGGCCCAGGGGCAGCCGAAGGCTGGTGTTTTTTTTTTTTCCCCCCATGTTGGGGTCTTGCTCTGTCCCCCAGGCTGGAGTGCAGTGGTACCATCACAGCTCTGCAACCTTGCCGGCCTGGGCTCAAGCCATCCTCCCACCTCAGACTCCCGAGGAGCTGGGATTATAGGCCAACATCACTAGGCCCTGCTGATTTTTGTAATTTTTGAGGAGACAAGGTTTTTGCCATGTTGCTCAGGCTGGTCTTGAACTCTTGGGCTTAAGCCATCCTGGAGTCTCGGCTTCCCATGTGCTGGGATTGTGAACCCCCGTGCCTGGCTTCATTTTGCTTTGACTCTCCCAGAGCTGCCCACATTCCCTCATTTCTTGGGTCCCCAGTTGTCCAGGCCATTGTGGCTGGGGCTGGGGCGGGCTGCAGGATGGGACCATGAAGAGCCCGGTCCTCCTTGCAGACCATATGGAGAGCCGAGCTCGCTGCACTTGGGCAGGTTCTGGGGTCCAGATGGATGGGGACCCATGAGTCCACGGCACCGAGCTTGTCCCCTGGTCCAGTACTCAAGGAGGAAGGGTTCTGGGGTTCCCAAGCAGAGCCCAGCAGTGTCCTGTGACCCTTCTGTCCCACCTAGATCTCTCCGCTCCAGTGAATGGCGAAGCCTTGTCACAGAAGGGGGAGAGCGTGGAGGACAAGGAGCATGAGGAGGGTCAGGACTCGGAGGAGGGGCCGAGATGTGGCTCCTCTGAAGACCTGCACGAGTGAGTGTCCTGAGGGTGGGGTGCAGCCTCCTGAGAGGCTACGGCATGACGTGCACCCTGTGTCCCAGCCGTTGCTCCTGGCCGGTCCCTCTGGGAAGGGTTCCAGGCATATTACCCCGATTCAGGGACCTCCCACCGAGGCAGCTCCAGGGCTGTGAGCTGCCTGCACCCAGCCTCCTGGGAAGGTGGCTTCTGGCCACAGACCCCTGGCCATCTGACGGTGCCAGTGCCCATCACCATGGCCCGCTGTCTGGCACAAGGTGTGGAGTTCCTCACTTACCCAGCAGCTGCCCTGTGCTGGGCCTGGATGGTCCAGCCTGGGGACCCCGGAGATGTTTGTGGTCTCTAGTGGCAGAAGACAGGCAGATAGGGTGGTACTCGAGCCCCAGGTGCCACAAACGGGGCACACTCCTCCGGGCCTGTCCTCACCTGACTGCCCCACAGATGGGGCAGGGCAGGGTGTTCTCACACTGCCTTCGCTGTTCCCACCAGCAGCCCGCGGGAGGGCCCTGACCTGGACAGGCCTGGGAGCAGCCGGCCGGAGCCCGAGAGGGCGCGGGGGGACTCGGAGGCCCTGGACGAGGAGAGCTGAGCCAAGGGCCCCAGCTCAGCCTGCCGCAGGCTGCCCGTCTCCTTCCCTGGCTGGCGGGAGAGCAGAGCGAGAACTGTGGGGAAGCGCCGTGCTGTTTGTATTTGGTCCCTTGGGTTTTTTTTTCTGCCTAATTTCTGTGATTTCCAAGCACCATGAAATGATGATAAAGGGTTTTTTAATGAAACAGAAATCATTTTTATTGGCTTTGGTTTTCTAGCAGTGCTGGTGCAGCAGGGGCCCAAGTGTGGGAGCAGTTGGCAACATCACTGCGCCTGTTTGGGGACTGGGTTGAGCCATCGGGCCACCGTGTGAAGCAACTGAAAGGTGCTCTGGGCCCACCCGGCCCAGCCCCATCCCGGAAGGCCAGTGGTGGTGGTGGGGGGTGGGTAGCAAGCCCTTCCCAGCAGCCAAGAGGGAGAAACCAGGGCCTCTCAGCCTTGTGCCACCCCCACCCCCTGCCCCACCCCCACCCCCACCCCACCGTGAGCAGGGCAGGGGTAGAGAAGGCAGAAACCATGCCTTCCTTAAGAGCCACTGCTAGGAGTCCATGGTCTCCAGCGTTCAGGGTGTGTGGGCCTTGGGGGCCAGCTTCGACTCACCACGGCTGTGTCACTCACGCTGTGTGACTTTGGACAAATCTTCCTCTGCCTAAGGGGCTGTCATGTGGGCACGGCCGGTCCCACCATGCACCGAAGTTGCTCATTCCACAGTGGCTTCTCGTGTTTGTGCTCCTGCTCACAGTGGCCGAGTCGCCTCCGTCCCAGCAAGAATCAGGCAGTGGTGCGGCAGGAAGGGACTGCCCCTGCCCTGGCTCCAGGCTTGGTGGGCCGGATGTTAGCGCCAGTCACTGTGCCTGATGGCTGCAAACAGCTGTGCCCGGCATCCTGGCCTCCCATGGCCATGGGTGTCAGAGGCTGAGGAGGGAAGGCTGAAGGCGGCTCCTGATCCTCTCATGGGACTTGGGGCTGTTTCTGCCGTGCCAGCTTCCCCCGTTCAGAGCTGAGCCGAATGCCATGGCCTTTGGTACGCACAGTGACCCCTGGGGGCCAGCAGTCCCGCCATCCTGCCTCCCCCCAGGTCTGGGGTTCCTGGACTTGGGACTGCGTGATTTGCAGAGGGCAGAAGGGAGAGTTCTCTTACAGAGTTGGTGAGTGGGGCTGCGGCTTCCTGGGGAGGCCGGGCTGAATGGCTCCTCCCTACGGGACTGAGCGCAGCACAGGGCGCTTCTCACACCCCACCCGGGCCGAGCCTGCCAGCCTTCATGGCCTGTGCCAGCCGGCGAGCCCAGGGTCGGGCAGCTTGCCAGGCAGGTGGGTCTGCCGCCGCCAGTGTCTCTGATACCCTCAGCTTCCCTGGCCCCGCTTCCTCTGCAGCCCAGTGCTTATGCTGCCCTGAAGCCCTGCGGGGAGTGTACAGGGACGAGGGGCTGCACCACCAGCACACGGCCTCCACAGCTGGTCCTGGCTGGGAAACACTTTGTCTGTGTTCTCCAGTGGCAGCTGCTGGGCCCAGCCTCCCCAGGAGCCTTGGGGCAGGGGCAGGAGCCTTGGGGCATGGGCAGGGGCAGGGGCAGGAGCCTTGGGGCAGGGGCAGCCTGTTTGCTGGTTTTTGCATCCCCCCCATGCCCTGCAAATCACACAATCCCAAGTCAGGCCGGTGCAAAGCCCCCATTCTGGCTGCTGTGTTTCCTAGCAGCTTTGTCCCTGTCATGAGGCCACACCGGGGGTCAACAGAGACAGTAGTAGCCTGCCTTGGGATGACGGTGGCATTTTGGCATTTTCTAGTATCTTCTAGTACCAGGGAATGTGGTTAAGACCCTCAAGGTGTGCTAAGGTCTGAGGACCTGCTTTGAGTGCAGGGACAGAGTGCGGCCACAGCAGTGCACGAGCCGCTGGTAGCTGGCGGGGGGCCGCAAGAGCCCCCCTAGATATAAAAGCATTGCTGGGGGCAAAGGGATGCAATCCTAGGCTCTGCGCACTTTCTCTTTTCTAATTGCCGTACCCGCTCCAGGCCTCCGAGGGAAGGCTCTTGGCTGGAACTGTGAGTGACGCTGGGCTCCTAGGCTGGGAACGGGGCTGGCATTACTGGACAGGAGGTGGAAGGTGTGGGCAGCCTGGAGCAGGGCAAGGGTGGCTCAGCTCAGGTGACCCTCCACAGCCCTTTAGTGCCCAGCCAGCTGCAGCCCCGAGGGTCTAGGGCTGGGGAGAAGGTTCTGAGGCGGATCCACCCTAGGCAGAGCTGGGTGGCCCAACGTGGGGCCTGCAGGCTCCTACAGCTGCTGCCCGCCAGGGGGCAAGGCGAAGGGCCCCACCAGCCAGCTGAGTGGGGGGTTGTGCTGCACACCCTCCAGTAGCTGCTCCAGCCCCTGCCACGCCTTCTGCACATCCTCAAGGCTCTGTCCCAGGTGCTCTGCGTGCAGCTCCTTTAGAGAGCCCGCCGAGGCCACCACGCTGTAGAGCTCGCAGAGGCTGTGCCTCGCCCGCCCCACTGGCTGCTGGAGCTCGGCGGGCAGGCCCTGGAGGCTGGAGGCCAGGCCGCTGTAAGCCCGGTGCAGCTGCGGGAGGAGGCTGCAGACCCTGGACAGAGCCCCAGGATCCTGCTCCTGTGGGAGGACGGTGCAAGGTGAGTGGAGACCCACGGGCAGGGTGGGGGGACCCCAGCCCTGTGCCAGACCCACCTCCTGGACAGCAGCATCCTCCATGCTGGCACCGGAGCCCTGGTCCAAACACGGCTGCCCTTCCGGAGGCGGCTGGGCCTTCTGAATCTGGAGAGAGTCCAGTGGGGAGATGATGGCTTCTTGGCAATGACCTTTCACAATATCCCCTCACCCCTCAGGGACTTAGGTGCATACAGAGTCCTGGCTTCAGCATGTCCTGTGGCCTGGGGGCAAGGCCATGAGTTCCAAGTCAGTTGTGCCACGGTGGGCGTGCTGTCTCAGAGGAGGCGGCAGTAGTTCAAACTTCCCCATGGGGTCACTAGGGAGCGCACATAACACAGCATCCATGGGATCATGTCACTCCTCTGTCCTAAACCCTCCCGTGACTCCCCAGTGCTGTTATGACACCCAGCTCCTCACCATGGCCTTGCTGGGGTGGCCCCTGGGACGCCTCTGTCGTCATCTCCCACCCGCACCCCAATGCTGTCTCCACTGCCCTCTGACCACTCCGCCAGGCTCCTGCCCCAGGGCCTCTGCCCACACTGCCCGCTCAGCCCAGAGCCTTGCACAAGGCCTGCTTTCCACCTCAGCTTCTGGGGACCCTTGGCGAAGCCTTTCCTGCCTGCTCAGCCCCAGTCCCTCCTTGTCACAATTGTTCCTGTCCTCAGGGACACGGCACTGTCTGAAGGCACGGTGGGTGTTCATTTACTTTCTGTTTTTCTGCCCCTGGGGCGGGAACTCTCAGGACTCTGTCCTCGTGCAGTGTCCCCAGCACATGGCACCCGCTGCCACCCTGTCCACAGGGCCCAGTTGTCCTTGTCATCGAAACGGCTGGTGGGGGTGCTGCACACAGCCAAAATGTCCACTCCAGACTGCCGTCGCCCTCCCAGCCCTCGCCCCGCCGTCGCTGGAGACCTTAAGCCAGCCACATATTTGGACGCGTGCCCTGGGTGGCCACCAGGCATCTCTAGTTGCCCTGTCCAAGCCCAGGTTCCTAATGTCCACTCTGCAACCCGCCTGGCATCCCCTAAGCACCCCCGATTTCCTTATCTTCTCAGGTTACAAACCTAACGGGTCTCCTGGGGTCATCTCTCCCTCACCTCCTACAGCAGACCCGGGCAGCCCTGAGTTGGAAACACCCAGAGCCCAGCTATTTCTCACCACCACAGCATGACTCCTCAGGCCCAGCAGCACCGATCTGGCTTCTGGCCCTTTCCCCCACCCGGTGGCCTGACATCCCTAGCAGGGCAATCCTCTTAAATGAAACCCACCCTGGATCAGGCCACTCCTCTGCCCAGAGCACTCCAGGGCTCCCATCCTGGTTGAAGCCAGGTCCTGTCCAACCAGGCCAGCCCCCTCCTCACTCTGCTCCAGCCACCCAGGCCTCCTGGCTGTTCCACCAACACGCTGGGCACAGTCCTGCTGCCCCAGGGTCTTTGCACGGGCTGTGCCCTCTGCTCAGATAACAGTGCCCATTCTGATGCGCTCTCGCCGTCATCTAGACCTGACCTCGAGCGTCCCCTCTTCCGGGTGATCATCCCAGCACTGCCACTTCCTTATCCTGACACATTCTCCACCTTTCCAGGCATTGTCCAGCGCCCCGTGCGCATTCACGGATTGTCCCCCGACTACATCGTCCCCCTTGAGGGCAGGACTGGTTCTTGGGATCTCCAGGGCCTTCACTAGCACTTACGGGAATAGTGGGAAGTCACCGCACATCCCTTTTCCCAGCCCAGCATCCTTCGCACGTGGCCCTGAGCAGAGCTCTGCTCTTCCTGGTGGCCTCTGTGTCCTTCTAAAAAGCCCCTGGGCTGATTTCTGGCTGAACCTAGTTTGCTGTGAGGATTGAAAGGTGGAGAAATGGGCCGGGGGCAGGGGCTCATGCCTGTTATCCCAACACTGTGGGAGGCCGAGGTGGGCGGGTCACCTGAGGCCTGGACTTCATGACCAGCCTGACCAACATGGCGAAACCCCGTCTCTATTAAAAATACAAAAATCAGCTAGGCATGGTGGCGCACGCCTGTAGTCCCAGCTGATCGGGAGGCTGGGGCAGGAGAATCGCTTTAACCCAGGAAGTGGAGGTTGCACTGAGCCGAGATCGTGCCTGGTGGACAGAGACTGTTCCAAAAACACAAGAAAGGTGGAAAAAGCTTTGTGATGAGCTGCTTGCCATGCGCCCTGAGGGTGTGCCCTCCCCCCTGCCCCCCGTTCCAGCGTTTGGGAAACACCTTCTAAGTGTACCGTTGTCCCATGTGCTGGAGAGGCAGCAGGACTGTGCACCTGGGGGTGGCCGCAGTGACGTGGAGTGTCTGGAGGGTCCCCAGGACGAGCTTGCCCTTAGCACTGTGGACACCGGGGCCACATTGATCTCTGGGGTGGGGCCACTGTGGACACTGCAGGGCGCTGAGCAGCATTCCTGGCCTCCGCCCCCTCTCCACCTACGGGCTTCCCCCAGTTGTGACAACCACAGATGTCCCCAGATATGGACTAATGTCCCCTGGGGGCAGGTCATCCTCACTGAGAACCCTGGGTTAGACCCTCAAACTGTGGTTTGTCATAGACCCCCTGGGCGTCAACTGAAAAACACCTTGGCCTGGGCTGCACCCAGGAATCCTGCCTCGGGGCAGCATCTCGAGGTTTCTCACGGCCAATGGGATGGGACTGCCATCCACCAACATGTGAAACCTGTGGCTGCAGGATTCGGTGGCTCACGCCTGTCATCCCAGCATTTTGGGAGGCCAGGATGGGCAGATTGCCTGAGGTCAGGAGTTCGAGACCAGCCTGGGTAACATGATAAAACTCTATCTCTACTAAAATATACATAAAAAATCAGCCAGGTGTGGTGGGGCACGCCTGTAATCTCAGCTACATGGGAGGCTGAAGTATGAGAATCGCTTGAACCCGGGAGGCGGAGGTTGCAGTGAGCTGAGACCATGCCACTGCACTCCAGCCTGGGCAACAAACTGAAACTGTCTGGGCGGGGGGGGACTGACTGCTGGGCACAGTGGCTCATCATGTCATCCCAGGACTTTGGGAGGCCGAGCCAAGAGGATTGCTGGAGGCCAGGAGCTCAAGACCACCCTGGGCCATATAGGGAGACCCAATCTCTACAAAAAATTTAAATTAACTGGGTTAGGGTTAGTACCTTTGGTCCCAGCTACTGGGGCAGCTGAGGCAGGAGGATCACGTGAGCCCAGGAGTTTAAGACCAGACTGGGCAACATAGCAAAATCTATCTAGTGAAAAATAAAACAGGCGGGGCACGGTGGCTGAATGCGTGTAATCCCAGCACTTTGGGATCACAGGGTCAGGAGTTCAAGACCATCCTGGCCAAGATGGTGAAACCCCGTCTCTACATGCCTGTAATCCCAGGTACTTGGGACGCTGAGGCAGAGCATTGCTTGAACCCAGGAGGCTGAGGTTGCAGTGAGCGGAGATAGTGTGCCTGCATACATCTTGAGATGCAAGACTCCATCCCCTCCCCAAAAAAAAAAATTCCAGGCGCAGTGGCTCACGCCTGTAATCCCAGCACTTTGGGAGGCCGAGGCGGGTGGATCACCAGAAGTCAGGAGTTTGAGACCAGCCTGACCAACATGGGAAAACCCCATCTCTATTAAAAATAAACATTTAAAAAATTAGCTGGGCGTGGTGGTGCATGCCGGTTTTCCCAGCCACTGGGGAGGTTGAGGTGTGAGGATCTCGAGCCCAGTGGGATGAAGCTACAGTGAGCCACGATCAAGCCACTGAACTCCAGCCTGGTGGCCAAACAAGACCCTGTCTCCAAAAAAAAACAAACCCTATAGCAGTCCTGTGAGATTCTGCCCTCAAGGGACAAACCACAGCTTCTAGAGGAAACTCAGGCCCTCAGGACTGGGGAGGGGAAAACTGGAGGCCAGGGATGAATCTCAGCTCCCTGCAGTGACCGGGATGACCCCACCCCCGAGAATCATCCGGCTCCAACATCCACACTGCCAAGCGGGGGACCCTAGGCCAAAGGAGGAGAGTGGAGCCAGGGGGAGGGGAGGACCACTCTGGTCAGGGTACCCGACCCCTGGATGCCATCTGATTCAATGTCACAACCACAGATGTCCCCGGATATGGGCTAATGTCACCTGTGGGGTCAACAGGTCTTGTGCTGGGTCCTTCCCCATGTGCACTGCGGCCCCATGCCCTGTGGGCCCCTTGGATGCCATCCCAGCATCATCTGCCCCAGCCACAGCACCGCCTTTCTGCTCCCGGAACAACCGAGCTGCCCCCTCCACCTCGGTAGCTTCCTTTCCTGCTGTCGCTGCCTTCCTGGGGGCTTTACACAACTGTCTCCCCATTGGTCAGGACAGCGCCCAGGGGGAATGGCCTTCCTGCCCAGCCCACATCCCCCTCTGCACACAGACTGTTTTGCCATCTTTGTGTCCCCTGCCTTGGACTTTTTTGAGACAGATTTGCTCTGTTGCCCAGGCTGGAGTGCAGTGGCGCGTTCTTGGCTCACTGCAACGTCTACCTCCTGGGTTCAAGTGATTCTCCTGCCTCAGCCTCCCAAGTAGCTGGGACTACAAGCGCGCGCCACCGCTCCCAGCTAATATTTGTATTCTCAGTAGAGACGAGCTTTCAGCCTGTTGGCCAGGATGGTCTTGATCTCTTGACCTCGTGATCCACCCTCCTCGGCCTCCCAATATGCTGAGATTACAGGCTTGAGCCACTGCGCCCGGCCTACCCGCTGTCTTTAAGGATCTGATCTAGCTCTGCCCACCTCGCCAGGACACAAGCCCCAAGAGTGCAGAGCCATGGCCGTTGGTAACACTGAGGGACATCATCTCCTAGGTGCTCAGTAGGTACGTGCAGCCGGGGGAGTCCCAGGCGGGAGTTCTACAAAGTGCCCTGGGGCAGGGGCAGCAGTAGGGGGAAGCTCTTACCAGCTTGAAGCAGTCGTGGAGCTGGGCCAGAGTGTCCCTGGCTTGGAACTGGCCATGCTGCAGGTGGCTCACTGCGTGTTCAAATGCCCGCTGGCGGAAGCTGGGAGCCAGGTCACCCAAACGAACAAAGTAGCTCCCCTGTTCGGCTGACAGCACCTTTGGCCCGGGCTGGGAGGCAGCCAGCTGAGCTGGAAAGGAAGACATGCTACTGTCAGGAGCCCCTCAGGGTGTTGGGGCTTGGGCTTGATTTTGATTATTTATTTATTTTTTTTAAAAGATGGGTTTTCACCATGTTGCTCAGGCTGGTCTTGAACTTCCCACCTCAGGTGATCCGCCTGCCTTGGCCTCCAAAGCGCCTGGATTACAGACGGGAGCCACCACATCCGGCCAGGGCTTGGGCTTTATAAAAGTCAAGTGAAGCCAGGCATGATCGCTCATGCCTGTAATCCCAGCCTTTTGGGAGGCCAAGGCGGGTGGGTGGGCGGATCGATCATGAGGTCAGGAGTCAGACCAGCCTGGCCAACATGGTGAAACCCTGTCTCTACTAAAAATACAAAAAAGACCAGGCAGTGGCGCGTGCCTGTAATCTCAGCACTTTGGGAGTTCAAGGCAGGTGGATCACAAGGTCAGGAGTTTGAGACCAGCCTGTCCAATATGGTGAAACCCCATTTCTACTAAAAAATACAAAAATTTTCTGAATGTGGTGGCGCACGCCTGTAGTCCCAGCTACTAAGGAGGCTGAGACAGGAGAATCACTTCAACCCGGAAAGCACAGAGGCCACACTGAGTCAGCACGGCCACTGCACCCCAGCATGGGTGAGAACAGTGAGACTGTCTCAAAAATAAAAAGAAAACTGGGTGTGGTGTGGTGGTGCATGCCTGTGATCTTGGCACTTTGGGAGTCTGAGGCCAGAGAAATGCTTGAACCCAGGAGTTTGAGACCAGCCTGGGCAGCATAGGGAGACCCGTCTCTACCTAAAATACATAGCTGTACATAGCTGGGCATGGCGGTCCTAGATACTGGAGAGGCTGAAGCAGTGGGATCACTTGAGCCCAGGAGGTTGAGGCTGTAGCAGGCTGTGAACACACCACTGCCCTCCAGTATGGACGACAGAATAAGACCTTTTCTCTAAAAAAAAGGAAAAAGGGCTGGGCACTCTTGCATGTAATCCCAACATTTTGGGAGGCCAAGGCAGGAGGATCGTTTGAACCCAGGACCAGCCTCCTCAACATAGTGAGATCCCCGTCTGAAGTAAACCAAATAAAAAAAAAAAAAAAAAAAAAAAAAAAGCATTTAAGTTAAGGGCTGGCTGGGCGCGGTGGCTCACGCCTGTAATCCCAACACTTTGGGAAGCTGAGGCAGGCAGGTCACCTAAGGTCAGGAGTTCGAGACCAGTCTGACCAACATGGAGAAACCCCATCTCTACCAAAAATACACAAAAAGTTAGCCGGGTGTGGTGGTACGTGCTTGAAATCCCAGCTACTTGGGAGGCTGAGGCAGAGGTTGCAGTGAGCCAAGATTGCTCCACTGCACTCCAGCCTGAGCGAAGACTGAAATTCCATCTCAAAAAAAAAAAAAAAAAAAAAGTCAAGGGCCCCCTAGTAGCTGTACCTGCCTCAGGGACCCAGGAACCCAGGCATCTCCTCACCTTGCTCTTCCGCATTCATGGGGTAGAAGATGTCACCTAGCCCCTCCAACTCATCTTGCAGCATTGCCAAGTGCAGGGCTTCTTCGGGGCCGTGTGTGGTGGCCAAGGGCCCCGTGTCATCCCTGCCTGGGGCGGCCCCTTGGGTGAACGTGGCCACATCAGGTGCAAGGCCCTCGGCAGTGGCTGTGGCTTCCCAGGCAGGCTCCAAGCCTTCTGTGAGCACATCTGGGGGCCTGGAAACGCCAGAGAACTGGGCCTCTCCGGGGCTCGGGGCAGTCTGCTCCCCACCACTGTCCGTGGTCCTGGAACTGGTGAGTCCACCCCAGGAGGTGGTCTGGGTACTAGGCAGCCAATTTTGGAAGGTGCTGAGGCCAGTGTGGATGGCCCCTGTCACCACATTCCCTGACCCCATGAGCCCAGTGGACACTGCGTCTTTGGTTCCGGTCAGCACCGTCTTGGTGGTGTCCAGGCCCCCCTGGATGGCCCCTTTGGCCATGCTCACAGCACCAGTGACCCCAGTGCAGATGGTGTCCTTGGTACCCGTGACCACAGTCTTGGAGGTGTCCACACCAGTCTGGACAGTCCCTTTGGCCAAGTTCACTGCCCCTGTGAGCCCAGTGGACACAGCGTCTTTAGTGCCAGTCAGGACAGACTTTGTTGTGTCCAGGGCCCCCTCGACAGCCCCTTTGGCCACACTGGTGGCACCGGTAACCCCACTGCAGACTGTGTCCTTGGTACCAGTTAGGACGGTCTTGGTGGTGTCCACACCTGTCTGGACGGCCCCTTTGGCCATGTTCATGGCACCGGTCACCCCACTGCAGACAGTGTCCTTGGTACCAGTTAGGACGGTCTTAGTGGTGTCGATGCCGGTCCGGATGGTCCCTTTGGCCACATTCACGGCCCCTGTGAGCCCAGTGGACACAGCATCTTTGGTGCCAGTCAGCACGGTCTTGGAGGTGTCCACGCCAGTCTGGACAGTCCCTTTGGCGACATTCACCGCCCCCATGAGGCCAGTAGTCACTGTGTCCTTGGTGCCGGTCAGCACGGTCTTGGTCGTGTCTACACCCGTCTGGACGGCCCCCTTGGCCACGTTGACGGCACCGGTCACTCCACTGCCAACGGTGTTCTTTGTACCTGTCGCGATATTTTGGGTCGTTTTCAGTCCGGTTTGCACAGCCCCTTTGGCCACATTCATGGCACCGGTCACCCCACTGCAGACGGTGTCCTTGGTACCGGTTAGGACGGTCTTGGTGGTGTCCATGCCTGTCTGGACGGCCCCTTTGGCCACGTTCACGGCACCGGTCACCCCACTACAGACGGTGTCCTTGGTACCTGCTGCGATAGTTTGGGTTGTATTGAGTCCAGTTTGCATGGCCCCCTTGGCCACGTTTGCTGCTCCTGTGAGCCCGGTGGACACTGTGTCTTTCGTACCCAGGACCACAGACTTGGTGGTGTCCAGGCCCCCCTGGACTGCCCCCTTGGCCATGTTCACGGCACCGGTTACCCCACTGCAGACAGTGTCTTTGGTACCAGTTAGGACGGTCTTGGTGGTGTCCATGCCAGTATGAATGGTTCCTTTGGCCAAGTTCATGGCACCGGTCACCCCACTGCAGACCGTGTTTTTGGTACCAGTTAGCACGGTCTTGGAGGTGTCCACGCCGGTCTGGACAGTCCCTTTAGCAACATTCACTGCCCCCATGAGGCCAGTAGTCACTGTGTCCTTGGTGCCGGTCAGCACGGTCTTGGCTGTGTCTACACCTGTCTGGACGGTCCCTTTGGCCATGTTCACGGCACCGGTCACCCCACTGCAGACGGTGTCCTTGGTACCTGCTGCGAGAGTTTGGGTCGTGTTGAGTCCAGTTTGCATGGCCCCCTTGGCCACGTTCGCTGCCCCCGTGAGCCCGGTGGACACTGTGTCTTTCGTACCCATGACCACAGACTTGGTGGTGTCCAGGCCCCCCTCGACAGCCCCCTTGGCCATGTTCACGGCACCGGTCACCCCACTGCAGACAGTGTCCTTGGTACCAGTTAGGATGGTCTTGGTGGTGTCCATGCCGGTCTGGATGGTCCCTTTGGCCACATTCACGGCCCCTGTGAGCCCAGTGGACACAGCATCTTTGGTGCCAGTCAGCACGGTCTTGGAGGTGTCCACGCCAGTCTGGACAGTCCCTTTGGCGACATTCACCGCCCCCATGAGGCCAGTAGTCACTGTGTCCTTGGTACCGGTCAGCACGGTCTTGGTCGTGTCTACACCCGTCTGGACGGCCCCCTTGGCCACGTTGACAGCACCGGTCACTCCATTGCCAACGGTGTTCTTTGTACTTGTCGCGATATTTTGGGTCGTTTTCAGTCCGGTTTGCACAGCCCCTTTGGCCACATTCACGGCACTGCTCACCCCACTGCAGACGGTGTCCTTGGTACCGGTTAGGACAGTCTTGGTGGTGTCCACGCCTGTCTGGACGGCCCCTTTGGCCACGTTCATGGCACCACTTACCCCGCTACAGACGGTGTCCTTGGTACCTGCTGCGATAGTTTGGGTTGTGGTGAGTCCAGTTTGCATGACCCCCTTGGCCACGTTTGCTGCCCCCATGAGCCCGGTGGACACTGTGTCTTTCGTACCCAGGACCACAGACTTGGTGGTGTCCAGGCCCCCCTGGACGGCCCCCTTGGCCATGTTCACGGCACCGGTTACCCCACTGCAGACAGTGTCTTTGGTACCAGTTAGGACAGTCTTGGTGGTGTCCATGCCAGTATGAATGGTTCCTTTGGCCAAGTTCATGGCACCGGTCACCCCACTGCAGACCGTGTTTTTGGTACCAGTTAGCACGGTCTTGGAGGTGTCCACGCCGGTCTGGACAGTCCCTTTAGCAACATTCACTGCCCCCATGAGCCCAGTAGTCACTGTGTCCTTGGTGCCGGTCAGCACGGTCTTGGCTGTGTCTACACCTGTCTGGACGGTCCCTTTGGCCACGTTCACGGCACCGGTCACCCCACTGCAGACGGTGTCCTTGGTACCGGTTAGGACGGTCTTGGCTGTGTCTACACCTGTCTGGACGGCCCCTTTGGCCACGTTCACGGCACCGGTCACCCCACTGCAGACGGTGTCCTTGGTACCTGCTGCGATAGTTTGGGTTGTGTTGAGTCCAGTTTGCATGGCCCCCTTGGCCACGTTCGCTGCCCCCATGAGCCCGGTGGACACTGTGTCTTTCGTACCCATGACCACAGACTTGGTGGTGTCCAGGCCCCCCTCGACAGCCCCCTTGGCCATGTTCACAGTACCGCTCACCCCACTGCAGACAGTGTCCTTGGTACCGGTTAAGACAGTCTTGGTGGTGTCCATGCCGGTCCGGACGGTCCCTTTGGCCACATTCACGGCCCCTGCGAGCCCAGTGGACACAGCATCTTTGGTGCCAGTCAGCACAATCTTGGAGGTGTCCACGCCAGTCTGGACAGTCCCTTTGGCGACATTCACCGCCCCCATGAGGCCAGTAGTCACTGTGTCCTTGGTGCCGGTCAGCACGGTCTTGGTCGTGTCTACACCCGTCTGGACGGCCGCCTTGGCCACGTTGACGGCACCGGTCACTCCACTGCCAACGGTGTTCTTTGTACCTGTCGCGATATTTTGGATCGTTTTCAGTCCGGTTTGCACAGCCCCTTTGGCCACATTCACGGCACCGGTCACCCCACTGCAGACGGTGTCCTTGGTACCGGTTAGGACGGTCTTGGTGGTGTCCACGCCTGTCTGGACAGCCCCTTTGGCCACGTTCACGGCACCGCTCACCCCACTGCAGACGGTATCCTTGGTACCGGTTAGGACGGTCTTGGTGGTGTCCACGCCTGTCTGGACGGCCCCTTTGGCCAAGTTCACGGCACCAGTCACCCCACTACAGACGGTGTCCTTGGTACCTGCTGCGATATTTTGGGTTGTATTGAGTCCAGTTTGCATGGCCCCCTTGGCCACGTTTGCTGCTCCTGTGAGCCCGGTGGACACTGTGTCTTTCGTACCCATGACCACAGACTTGGTGGTGTCCAGGCCCCCTTGGACGGCCCCCTTGGCCACGTTCATGGCACCGCTCACCCCACTGCAGACAGTGTCTTTGGTACCAGTTAGGACGGTCTTGGTGGTGTCCACGCCTGTCTGGACGGCCCCTTTGGCCATGGTCATGGCGCCAGTCACCCCACTGCAGACGGTGTCCTTGGTGCCGGTCAGCACAGTCTTACTTTTGTCCACGCCGGTCTGAATGGTTTCTTTGGCCAAGTTCACTGCCCCAGCGACTCCCGTGGACACAGCGTCTTTAGTGCCAGTCAGGACAGACTGTGTCATGTCCAGGCCCCCTTGGACAGTCCCTTTGGCCACATTGACAGCACCGGTCACCCCACTGCAGACGGTGTCCTTGGTGCCGGTCAGCACAGTCTTGGAGGTGTCCACCCCGGTCTGGACAGTCCCTTTGGCCACATTCACTGCCCCTGTGAGCCCAGCAGACACCGTGTCCTTGGTGCCAGTGAGGACAGCCTTCGAGGTGTCCAGGCCCCCTTGGACTGCGCCCTTAGCCACATCCACAGCCCCCGTGACCCCACTGAACACCACCTCCTTGGTGCCTGTCAGTGCAGACCGGGTGGTGTCCAGCCCTCCCTGGACCACTCCCTTAGCCGCGTCCACCACACTGGCCACCCCAGAGGAGACAGTGTCCTTGGCCCTGGACATCTTGGAACACACCAGGTCTTTGGCCCCGGACACCACCTGCTGAGAAAGGACACAGGTGATCAAGAGGAGGACTGAGAGGAGCACTCCACCCTGACGTCCACCAGCCCAGCCCCTTAGTGTGCTTTGGGGCAAGGAACTCTAGGCACCCAGAGGCCCCATGTCCTTGAAGAGCAAGCTGCTTCCTTCTCACCCCTACCCCAGTCAACCAGACATTCATCAGGCTGTGGGGTGGCACCCTGACTCTCAGGGACGAAGTCCTCATGAGCTCACAGCGCCTACCTTCCATTGTCACCCATTCCATTCCCCTGCAATAGGCAGGCCTCGTCTGCACTAGCACATCTGGGACGCCAAGGTCTCCAGACCTGGACTCAGCGCAGGTCCTACTGTCACGTTTCTGTTCCTCTTGCTTTTTCTTCAGTCATGGCAAATGCGGAGCCTGGTGTCCTAGTGACACCAGGGACACCAAATTGCATATTAAAATTGTTACATCAGGCTGGGTGGGGTGGCTCATGGCTGTAATCCCAGCACTTTGGGAGGCTGAGACAGGCAGATCACCTGAGGTCAGGAGTTCAAGACCAGTGTGGGCAACATGGAGAAAGCCCGTCTCTACTAAAAATATGAAATTAGCCAGGTGTGGTGGCGCATGCCTCTAATCACAGCTACTCAGAAGGCTGAGGCAGGAGAATCACTTGAACCCAGGAGGCGGAGGTTGCGGTGAGCCGAGATCACACCACTGCACTCCAGCCTGGGCAATAAGAGCAAAACTCCATCTCAAAAAAAAAAAAAAAACCTCATTATATCCAGGCCAGATGTGATGGCTGACGCCTGCAATCCTGGCACGTTAGGAGGCCAAGGCGAGAGGACTGCTTGAGCCCAGGACTTCAAGGTCAGCCTGGGCAACCAAACCAGACCCAGACCCAGATCCTACCAAATTTGAACAGTTGGCCAGGTGGTGGTGCACACCTGTAGTCCCAGCTACTTGGGAGGCTGGGGCGGGAGGATTGCTTGAGCCCAGGAGGTTGAGGCTGTAGTGAGATGTGATCGTACCACTGCACTCCAGCCTGGGCAACAGAATGAGACTGTCTCAGAAATAATAGTATATTCAAGCTGGGCACGGTGGCTCACACCTGTAATCCCAGCACTTTGGGAGGCCGAGGTGGGCAGATCATGAGGTCAGGAGTTCGAGATCATCCTGACCGACATGGTGAAACCCTGTCTCTACTAAAAATACAAAAATTAGCCGGGCATGATGACACGCTCCTGTAATCCCAGCTACTCAGGAGGCTGAGGCAGGAGAATCGCTTGAACCCAAGAGGCAGAGGTTGCAGCGAGCCGAGATTGCACCATTGCACTCCAACCTGGGCGACAGAGCAAACCTCTGTCTCAAAAAAATAGTAATAATTAAAAAAATAAAAACAAACAAATGAGTGGAGGCGATGATGGTCTAGGAGTTCCAACACTCAGGTGTACCTATAAGGGGCTTTTTTTTTTTTGAGACAGTGTCTCACTCTGTCACTCAGGCTGGAATGCAGTGGCACGATCTCAGCTCACGGCAACCTCCGCCTCCGAGTTCAAGCAATTTTCCTGCCTCGGCCTCCCGAGTAGCTGGGATTACAGGCACCCACCACACCCAGCTAATTTTTGTATTTTTGTAGAGACGAGGTTTCACCATGTTGGCCAGGGTGGTCTTGAACTCCTGAGCTCAACTGATCCGCTCACCATGGGCTCCCAAAATGCAGGGATTAGTCATATGCCAAGGTGCTACTTTACTTCAGTATCTCTCAAATGGGTGGTCGTGTCCTTAGGGGGCACCCGGTGATGTCTGGAGGCATCTGTGGGTGTCACAGCTGGGGGTGCTCCTGGCAGGGAGTGGGTGGGGGCCAGGGACGCTGCTCAGCACCTTGCAGTGCCCAGGATGGCCACCCCAGAGAGTGACCCAACCCCAAGTATCCACAATACTGAGGTTGAAAAGCCCAGAAATTATTTCCTCAGAACCCATCTCCCCACTAGATTTGGCTCAGGTGGGCACCTTGAGCTCTAGCTGGAGACACCCAGGTTCAGGTCCCAGGTTTTTACCCTCTCCTGCCCGACACTCGCTGTGCTGTGTGGCGTTAGGCCAGCCACATGCCCTGTCTGAGCTAATATCCTCATGTCTGGAAAATGCCGATTAAAACAGCTCCTCTTGCCAGGTACGGTGGCTCACGCCTGTAATCCCAGCACTTTGGGAGGCCGAGGCAGGTAGATCACTGGAGGTCAGGAGTTCAAGACCAGCCTGGCCAACATGCTGAAACCCTGTCTCTACTAAAAATACAAAAATTAGCCGGGCATGGTAGCAGGCACCCGTGATCCCAGCTACTCGGGAGGCTGAGGCAGGAAAATTGCTGGAACCCAGGATGCGGAGGTTACAGTGAGCCAAGATTGCACCACTGCAGTCCAGCCTGGGAGAAACAGTGAAACTGTGTCTCAAAAAATAAAACCGAAAGAAAGTGCTCATGCTGCTGCCGCTTCAGTCACACCGTGCCAGGCACAGCCCTGCGTGGTCTGCAGCCTTGCATGCTTACAGTGAGGCAGCCACCACACCCATTTCACAGATGCAGAAATAGAGGCTCAGAGGGGAAGCTCCACCTGGAATCACCAGGCTGTCTGCCTTCCTTCAGGCCGACAGCAGCCCCCGCAAATGGCAGGAACAAAAATGTCCCAGGAGGGGTACCCCAAGGGTTCCTGCGACATCAGTCCTGCCCTGCCCATGCTTCTCACCTTTCCCGAAGGCTTCAGCTCCTCCGTCCATTGAGCCGTCTGCTCTGGGTGGGCAGCTACTGTGGAGACATGGGCCAGTCAGGGAGGGCGAGGGATACAGGTTAGAATCATCTACTCGGCCACCCATTGTGCAATAGCCAGGCCCAGCCTGAAAGGTCAGGAATGTTTTAACCACCCTGCCAGGGACAGCAGGAGGTGACATCCACGGCTACCAGCCAGACCTGTCACCCCCCGCCCCACAACCCCGCTGGGGGCTCCCCCAAGCCCAGAGCCACCGTTCCCTGGAGAAGGCTCCATGGAGCTTCCTGTGCTGGGTGCCGGACACCCACCCTGAGTCCTGGGGTTCACATAGCCTGGGATGGGGGAGAAGCCCCTTGTCAGGGCTGGCCAGCCCCGCCCCTGCCGCAGCTGCCTGCTGCCTGTTGCCAGGCCGAGGTATGTGGAGCAGAAGTCAGCTGCCTGGGGCTCTGGGCCCAGAGGGAGGCCCAGCTTGGGCAACCGCCTCAACCCTGGGTTCCCTGTCACCGTCCCTGATTGCCCAAGGTGAGCCACAGGAGGCTGGGGAGCCCCCAGGCTGTGTGACCCCAGGAGAGCTGCTGCCCCTTCCAGGGAGCTTGGATCTCACTCTGATGAGCTCAGACAGGCAGAGCACCCAGCCTGATCCATGGCACATCAGAAACGGGGTGCAGAGTGGAGAAATGACAGAGGGACTGAGTGGGGGGCACTGCAGGGAAACAGGCTGGGTCGAAAGACCACTTTGGCTGGTTACACCACCTTTGGCCACTCATCCCCCCATTTATGCCTCAGTTTCCCCATCTGGTACGAGATATCATAGTATCTGATGAGAAAACACAGACAAATACGTAAGGCTCCCCAGATGGCCGGAAGTCCCTGCCTGGGGAGCTCCTTCTCCCGGGTCCACATGCAGAGTCCCCCCCATAGCCTCCGCCAGGCCGGCCACTCACCTTGAGCCTGTGGTTGGGCAGCCTTGGCAGTAGGAGCTCCCACAGGGTCCGCGGCTGACCGGGCTCTCACTGAGCTGTGTGCGTTGGCCATCAGGTTCCGGGCAGAGCTGAAGCCAGGCAGGGACCCAAAGAAGCTGCCCAGGGTCTGCACGGGGGCGAGGGGTATGCAGGATGAGCCGACCAAGCCTTGGCAGGGATGGAGGTCAGAGGAACCATCCATCCATCAACCCAGCACCACCCCAGCCCCTTGCTCCCGGGTGACCTCGGGAAAGTGTTTCACTCAGCCTCAGTTTCTGCACCTGGGCAATGGGCAGACACAGCCTGCCTCCCTCACACAGAGGAAAAGATCATCTACCCCATCTCCAAAGACCTTTTCCTTCCAGGATCCCCATTGTACAGATGGGGAAACTGAGGCTCAGAGAGAGGTGGGGCTGAGGCCGGCCCAAGGTCACCCTGCATGGGTCCCCCACCTCCAGCTTGAGTCAGGAAGGGAGAGGTTGGCATCATGGCTCCCAGAGACCTCCCAGGCCCACCAGTGAAGCCCCTCTCCAGAATCGAGCCCCCAGGACTGTGGAGTTTGTCTTCCTGGGCTCTGGGGCATTTCTGAGCCGCAGCAAGAATCTGCCCCCACTTTCTTCTCTTTACCTTGCCCTTGGGTTTGGGGGGACCCTGGCTCCCTTCATCCGGAGCAGACATAGTGAGAGCGTGAGAAGCTGGAAGGGGGCAGAGAAGATGTGTGAATTGCGGTTCTCACGCCTCCTGTCCCACACCCACTCCCCGCCAAGAGCCTGAGCAGCCCCAACACCCACCTGCAGGCCTGGCCTCACCCTGGTGTCACTGAGGCAGCTACAGCCCCGCTCACCTGGACTGCTCAGGGTCCTACAGAGGACGGACTGGCCCAGCTGGCAGCTGGCTCTACCCTCGGCTCCCTGGCCTTATAGGGTCTGGGGCAGGCGCAGGCCCAGCTGGCAGGGGCAGGCAGCCAATGAGCCCGGGGGAGGCGGCCTGGGTGGTCACGTGGCCACCTGCCCAACCCAGCGTGGGCCTCGGGCCCAGCACCTTTCCCCTGTTCCCTGCCCATGACTTGTACCAGGCTGAGTGACTCACGGGCCAGCTGGGCTCCCTTCCTGGGCCCCCGAGGGACTGCCTGTGTGTCATCTGGCCTCTAGTTCCATCCACAAGATGGGTGTAGTTCAGATCCCTGCTATGCCAGGATGCCCTGGCCAAGTACCATCTTTGTGCCTCAGTTTCCTCTCATACTCTGCACTGTGTCCCATAACATCCAGCTTCCTCCCCACTCTCGTCTCTCCCAGGTTCCTCCTCCTCTCACTTCATCCCAGCCACACGGGCCTCCTCGCCATGCCTCCAGCACACCAGGCCTGGATCTGCCTCAGGGCCTCCACGTGGGCCGTTCCCTCTGCCTGAAATGCTCCCCTCCAGGTTCCCATATGGTGTCCTCTGCCCCACATCTTGAATAGTGCCCAGCATACATTCGGTGCTTAATACATGTTTGGTTCAATGGAGCAACAGAGTGGTTATGAGCCCGAGATGAGGTCATGGACTGAACAAACACTGCCTTCGCACTACCCAGGCAGAAGCGGGGTCTCGGGGTCTTAGCAAGAAACGGGGGGTGTCCTCAGTGTGGAGGGGAACCCATCACTCTCCGAAAGGAACTTGGACCAAAATGCAGACCAAGATGGAGCAACAGCTGAGCTGGGGGGCACCCTGGGAATGGAAACCCGTCCTGGGGGGCTTGGGAAAACCCAGGGAGGCTTCCTGGAGAAGGCGCCCTGTGCTTGTAAATGGTGAGGACCGGGTTCAAACCCTGACCCGGAACCTGCATGCTGAAGCCAACTTATGTGCTGGCCTGACTGTGGGTGGGCGGGCAGAGGAATGGCCATGATGCCCACCCTGGGCTGTGTCCCCCTCCTGCCTGCCCTTGAGGCAGGGTTCCTAGCCCTGTGCTATTGGGGGCAGGAGGGCACACCCCATGGGTGACTCTGGGCACCAGGCTGGGAGGAGGGAGGGTCCAGCCACAGGATCTGATGATTCCCAGGCCATCTGTCTCCTTGGAGCCGACACTGTCTTTGACAAACAGTGGGGGAACAGAAGAGGGGTTGTCCCCCAGCCTCTCCTCCCAGCCGGTGCTCTCTGAGGATGGCTGGGAAAGCTCTGGGTGCCCCTCCCCCTCCCAAAGGGTGGCCACAGCCCAGTGTGTGGGGAGAACAAACAAAAGGGACCATTAACATTGCAGCCAGGACCTGCCCCTCCTCTGCCTACCACCCTCTGTAGCTCCCACCTTCCCAGGGTAGAAGCCCAAGTCCCCTCCCTGCAGCGCACTAGGCCCCGTATCACCTGCCTTGCCCCCTTCTCCACCCTGCTCTCCTCTCCTCACTCTGATCCAGCCACGGGGCTCTTCACAGCTCCTGCAACATGCCAGGACGGAGGAGTCCCTCGAAAATACATGTGACTGTGGCTGCTGAGCCCCCACTTGCCGCCTCAGGGCTTCCTGTGGGTGGTGGCCTTTGCCTCCAGCACCCTTCCCCGCTTCCCTCACCTCCTTCCAGATCATTCCTCAGAGAGCATCTCCTCAAAGAGGCCTTCCTGATCCCTTCTCCCAGTAAAAAATATATAGCTCAGGCCAGGTGCTGTGGCTCATCCTGTAATCCCAGCATTTAGGAGGCGGAGGCCGGAGGACTGGCTTGAGCCTAGGAGTTTGAGACCAGCCTGGCAACATAGTGAGACCCCGTATCTACAAAATTTATGGTTTTTTTTCCCAAGACGGAGTTTTGCTCTTGTTGCCCAGGCTGAGTGCAATGGCGCAATCTCAGCTCACTGCAACCTCTGCCTCCCGGGTTTAAGTGATTCTCCTGCCTCAGCCTCCCGAGTATATGGGACTACAGGCGGGCACCCCTCCCAGCTAATTTTGTATTTTTAGTAGAGACGGGGTTTCTCCACGATGGTCAGGCTGGTCTGAACCAACCTCAGGTGATCCGCCTGCCTCAGCCTCCCGAAGTGCTGGGATTACAGGCATGAGCCACTGCGCCCGGCCCCCCAAAATATTTTTAAATAAAAGTTAAATGAATTACTGGGCTGGGCAAAGTGGCTCACATCTGTAATCCCAGCACTTTTTTTTTTTTTTTGAGACGGAGTTTCGCTGTTATTACCCAGGCTGGAGTGCAATGGCGCGATCCCAGCTCACTGCAACCTCCGCCTCCTGGGTTCAGGCAATTCTCCTGCCTCGGCCTCCCGAGTAGCTGGGACTACAGGCACGCGCCACCGTGCCCAGCTAATTTTGCATTTTAGTAGAGATGGGGTTTCACCTTGTTGACCAGGATGGTCTTGATCTCTTGACCTCGTGATCCACCCGCCTCGGCCTCCCAAAGTGCTGGGATTATAGGCGTGAGCCACTGCGCCCGACCAATCCTAGCACCTTTGGGAGGCCGAGGCAGGTGAATCACCTGAGGTTAGGAGTTTGAGACCAGCCCTGCAAACATGGCAAAACCCCGTCTCTACTAAAAATACTAAAAGTAGCTGGGCGTGGTGGCAGGCACTGGTAACCCCAGCTACTTGGGAGGCTGAGGCAGGAGAATCGCTTGAACCCGGGAGGTAGAGGTTGCAGTGAGCCAAGGTCATGCCACTGCGCTCCAGCCTGGGTGACAGAGCAAAACTCCATGTCAAAAAACAAAACAGAAAAACAATCCCAGCGCTTAGTCAACCCATCCTCTTTTCCTCACCTCTGCTCCAGTGAAGCCGATTTCCCTACTGCTGTGCCTTTCCTTAAGCTGTTCCCTCTGCCAAAACGCCTGTCCCTGTGTGCTGTTGTGATCATCTTCAACAGGCCTGGCCCTCCGGGAGCCCCCAGCCTCGTGTGGGAAGGGAGGGCAAGGCTGCCTGTGGCTGCAAGTCAAGGTGGAAAGGGCAAGAAACCTTGAGAACTTGTCCAGTGGAGGACTGGAGGAGGGAGGTATCCAGCTGGGATGGAGTCCAGGAAGGCTTCCTGGAGGCAGCGGCACTGGGGCTGGGCCTTGAGGATGCATGAGACCTGTCCAAGGAATGGATGGGAGGGTGGCAAGGGCATTCCAGGTGGCCGCATAGCCTCAGCAAAGGCCCGGAGCTGGGAAAAGTGCTCACTTCGATGGGAATAGAGCCAAGTATACAGGCCAAGCTGGAGGAAGAAGCTGGAAGGTGAGGAGTTTGGTCTGTGGGCAGCGGGGAGCTATGGGAGGTTCAGGAACAGGAGCAGGGAAGTGGATTTGGCTGGTGGAAGTGGTCGGGGATCCCAGAGCCACCCTCTGGACCAGGTCCCAGGGAAGCAAGGGGCCACCCTGACCTCACACCACACTACACTGTGGTTTCCCATCACCCCACCCAGCCCTGGGGGAGGCTGAGGAGCAGCCAGAAATGCGGTCAGAGGACAGGAGGGGCCCCCTGAGACCAGCCCGTGGCCCTTGCCCTGCCTCTGTCTTCCCATCCCGGCCAGTGCAGCTGGAGAGACCACAGCAAGACCAGCTCCTGCAGGACGGGGGAGGTAGGTAGAGAGCTGCCCCATCTGACTCCTTCCCCTCCTGTCCTGCTCCCTGCAATTTCCACGAAATTCACCTGTACCAAGATGAGAACAACGTCCGTGAGAGGTAGGGGCAAAGCTCTTGTTTAGTTTTAGAGAGGGGATCTCACTGTTGCCCAGGCTGGAGTGCAGTGGTACCAGCCTGGCCACCATGGTGAAACCCCGTCTCTACTAAAAATACAAAAATTAGGAGGGCGTGGCAGCACACGCCTGTAGTCCCAGCTGCTCGGGAGGCTGAGGCAGGAGAATCGCTTGAACCCGGAGGCAGAGGTCACACCATTGCACTCCAGCCTGGGCAACAGCGCAAGACTCTTATCTCAAAACAAAACAGAACAAAAGCAGTCCTTTCGCCTCCGCCTCCCAAAGCTCTGGGATTACAGGTGTGAGCCGTGGTGCCCAGCTAATTTAAGCAGCAGTGCTTACCCGACGTGGGCTGAGCAGCAACAGTGAATCCCACACAGGATGACAGGCAGGTCAGAGAGGCAGCACTCCTCCAGATGCTCTGCACGGCCCCTTCAGCACGTCTCTGCAGTGACACACCTCCACGGCCCCCAGCCCCCTGGGACTGAGACCCACCCCGGCTGGAACACACGCACGGGCCTTTGGACATCAGAAAGCACCTTTATTCAGCAGCAAACCCCAAATAGCAAAGCAAGGGGGTGTGGCGGGCCAAGCATCTTTGGGGGACCCATCCGTCCAGGATACAAGGGAAGGCGGGGGGCTCACTTTTCAAAGTTCCAAATAGGGCAAAATGTGTGTTTCCCTGCTTTTTTTAAAAAAATTTTTCTTGAGACGGGGTCTTGCGCTGCCACCCAGGCTGGAGTGAAGGGGCGAAATCATGACACTGCAGCCTCCAACTCCTGAGCTCGAGCGATCCTTCCGTCTTGGCCTCCCAAAGTGCCGTGATTACAGGTGTGAGCCACCACACCCAGTCAGGGCCCACTTTTCAAGGCCCCAAACAGAAAGCATTGGGCAAAATGTGTGTTTCTTGGGGAGGTTTTTTTTTTTTTTTTTTTTTTTTCAGACGGGGTCTCGCTCTATTACCCAGGCTGGAGTGCAGTGGTGTAATCTGCTCTCTGCAACCTCCGCCTCCCGGGTTTAAGTGATTCTCCTGCCTCAGCCTCACAATTAACTGGGACTACAGGTGCGCACCACCACGCCCAGCTTTTTTTTTTTTTGTATTTTTAGTAGAGACGGAGTTTTACCATGTTGGCCAGGCTGGTCTCGAACTCCTGACCTCAGATGATCCACCTGCCTCGGCCTCCCAAAGTGCTGGGATGACAGGCGTGAGCCACTGCGCCCGGCCTCTTGGAGAGGTTTTGATGAGCTTCATGGAGCCAGGGAGGAGGACCCAGGTGAAGAGCCCAGCTCATGCCTCAAGTTGGCCTGAACTGCGTTTGAGGCTCTGCTTTTCCTGGGACTCTGTCCATGTGTCCAAGGAAAGAATGGGAGAGACCAATACGAAAAAGGTGGTCGGGGATCCTGAATTCGGCCCTATTCTGCAGACGGGTCAAGGCCAAGGCCTCGTGCTTACACGTGGCCATCGGGACAGCAGCGATCTTGGTGTGCAGGTGGCTTTCCCACTGGCCCATGGGTCAGAAGTCCAGCTCCGGCATCAGGGTATGCTTGACCGGGCGGCTGGGGGTCTCGTGCTCCTGCTCGCAGATGTCCCCGGCGATGCCCACCCCGTTCCCGTCCCCATCCCCGTGCTGGGCCTCCCAGGCTCTCTGCTGGGCTGGCCAGTCCAGGTGCGCCCAGCGGGGGTCAGGGCCCCCGATGACCTCATCCACCTGGGCCTCCAGGTCCAGCAGGGGCTTCGATCGCTCCACAAGGATGGGCGCGAAGGGTCCCACCAGCCAGGGCAATGGCACGGCCTGCACCACCAGCTCCAGCAGCTCGTCCACGCAGGCGTGCGCCCGAGCCACACGACCCCGGCCCTCGGCCAGCGCAGCCGCCGGCACATCCCCAAAGCAGCGGGCGTCGGCGAAGGTGGTCTGCAGGGCGTCCACGCTGCGCCGCACCTCGGCCACCTTCTCCTGGGCACTGGGGGGCAGGCCTCGCACGCTGAATTCCAGCGCCTCTACCGTGCCCTGAAGCTCCTGGGTCAGGCTGCGGGACAGCACCAGTGTCTCCAGCTCTGCCTGCAGGAAGTGGGGACCTCAGTTTCCCTGACGGACGCCCAACAGACTGCAGTCCTGCCTCGGTTTCCCCGATAGACCCACAGTGGGACTGTCAACCTGTCTTATAGACCTCATGGTTCTGTCCCCATAGACACAGAACATGACCTGCTCTGCCTCAGTCCCCTCATAAACATAGAATGGGGCTGGGCACGGTGGCTCACACCTGTGATCCCAGCACTTTGGGAGGCTGAGGTGGGTGGATCACCTGAGGTCAGGAGTTTGAGACCAGCCTGGCCAACATGGTGAAACCCTATCACTACCAAAAAAAAAAAAAAATGTTAGCTGGGTGTGGTGGCACATGCCTGTAATCCCAGCTACTTGGGAGGCTGAGGCAGGAGAATTGCTCAAACACAGTAGGCGGAGGTTTCAGTGAGCCAAGATCGCGCCACTGCACTCCAGCCTGGACAACAAGAGCAAAACTCCATCTCAAAAATAAATAAAATAGGCCAGGTGAGGTGGCTCACTCCTGTAATCCCAGCACTTTGGGAGTCTGAGGCAGGTGGATCATGAGGTCAGGAGTTCAAGACCAGCCTGGCCAACATAGTGAAACCACATCTCTAACTAAAAATACCAAAAAAAAAAAAAAAAATTAACTGGGTGTGGTGGCGCATTCCTGTAATCCCAGCTACTCGGGAGGCTGAGGCAGGAGAATTGCTTGAACCCAGGTGGTGGTGGTTACAGTGACCTGTGATCACGCCGTTGCACTCCAGCCTGGGCAACAAGAGCAAGACTCTGTCTCAAAAAGACAAACACAATGGGACTTAACCCTGCCTCAGTTTCCCCCCATGGACATCCCAAGTATCTGAGCTCAGCACTTGGTTTGAGATAGCTGGGTTCCTGGCAGCACTGGGCTGACCCGTAACTCCTCGCTTCCCACTCCCTCTGCAGCCTGGGGGCAGACACCACCTCACCTGGCTCCGGCGGCCGTTCTCCCCAGGGCACTGGCTCCAGTGCCCCCACAGCTCGTGCACCTTCCCGGGGCGGGCCGGGGTGGTGGGGGTCACCCCACACTGCATGTGGTCTATCTGCAAGGACAGAGATGGTGGAGAGTCTTCAGGGCTGGGGGATCTGAGGGTGGGGATGGGCCCAGGACCAACCCTAGCGTGCAGGTCCTGCAGCGATATGGGAAGGGCTCGGGCTTGGACCACAAGGGAGGTGGGAGCCATAGAGGGTCGTGGGCAGAGAAGGGATAGACCGGACTCAGAGGCTCACAGGTGCCCTCTGGTGGCTGCTGCGGGGATGGGAGAATTCTGACAATGAGGAGGGCAGTGGAAGAGGATGGCTTTTTTTTTTTTCCCCCCAAGCAGAGTTTTGCTCTTGTTGCCCAGGCTGGAGTACAATGGCACAATCTTGGCTCACCACAACCTCTGCCTCCCGAATTCAAGCAATTCCCCTGCCCCAGCCACTCGAGGAGCTGGAATTACAGGCATGCGCCACCATGCCCGGCTAACTTTGTACTTTCAGTAGAGACAGGGTTTCACCACGTTGGTCAGGGTGGTCTCAAACTCCTGACCTTGTGATCCGCCCGCCTCGGCCTCCCTAAGTGCTGGGATTACAGGCGTGAGCCACCACGTCCAGCTGGAAAGCTTTCTTCTGACCTGCCCTAACTTACTATAAATTTCAGCTCCTCCTTCCCCTCTTCCATAAAACCCCTCCCTGACTCCCCAGGCAGAGCCATGACACCCATGGGCTCCTCCAGGCCCAGGTCCCAGAGAGAGCTGCACCCAGCTCTGCCTCCCCCATCAGGCTAGCACGGGATCAGGTATGCAGCTGGCGCTCAGTCTATACTGACTGGCTTACATCTGGCAGCTGGGGCAGGTAGTGGGCTCTCACCAGCTCCAGAGTCTCCTGCAGCTGGGCCAGTGTGTCCTGGGCACGGTGTTTGCTCTGCCTCAGTTTCCCCAGAGAGTGCTCGTAGGCCAGGTGGCGGATCCGCGCTGACAGCGAGCCAAGCCGCACAAAATAGCCCTGCTGTCTCCTCTGATCCTCCACCGATCCCACTTCCGGGCCCTCGGCCTCAGCCGCCAGTGCCGCTGGAGGACAGGATGCGGGGGACAGAGCGGGGTCAGCACGGCCCACCTCCAGGTCCAGAGGCCACAGTTTCCCACATTCACTGCTCCTCTCGACTGATGTCAACCCATTTGGTCTTCCCCAAATGCTAAGGTGTAGGTAGGTGCCTTTTACACAGGAGGGAAACTGAGGCAAGGATAAGCAAGGTACCACAGGGTATAAGAAGCAGACCCGGATTGGAACCCAGGCTCATTGGCCCCAAACTGCTTAACCATTTTCTTTTTTTTTTTTTTTTTTGAGATGGAGTCTCACTCTGTCCCCCAGGCTGGAGTGCAGTGGCACCGTCCTGGTTCACTGCAACCTCAGCCTCCCATGTTCAAGCGATTCTCCTTCCTCAGCCTCCTGAGTAGCTGGGACCACAGGTGCGCACCACCTCGCCCAGCTAAGTTTTGCGTTTTTAGTAGAGACCAGGTTTCACCATGTTGGCCAGGCTGGTCTTAAACTCCTGACCTCAGGTAATCTGCCCACCTCGGCCTCCGAAAGTGCTGGGATTACAGGCGTGAGCCACCGTGCCCGGCCTCTTAACCATTCTTTTCAGTGGCCTTTTAAGAATATAGATTGGGGCCGGGTGCGGTGGCTCAAGCCTGTAATCCCGGAACTTTGGGAGGCCGAGGCAGGTGGATCATGAGGTCAAGAGATCGAGACCATCCTGGTCAACATGGTGAAACCCCGTCTCTACTAAAAATACAAAAAATTAGCTGGGCATGGTGGTGTGTGCCTGTAATCACAGCTACTCAGGAGGCTGAGGCAGAAGAATTGCCTGAACCCAGGAGGCAGAGGTTGCGGTGAGCCAGGATCGCGCCATTGCACTCCAGCCTGGGTAACAAGAGCGAAACTCTCTATATATAGATATAGATATAGATTGGGTGCAGTGGCATGCACCTGTAATCCTAGCACTTTGGGAGGCCGAGATGGGAGAGCTGCTTGAGCCCAGGGAGGGTTGCTCAGAGACCAGCTTGGGCAATACAGCAAGTCCCCATCTCTAAAAGATAAATATGGAAATTAGCCAGGGCTGGACACGGTGGCACAGGCCTACAGGTCCAGCTGCTTGAGAAGCTGAGACAGGAGGATCACTTGAGCCAAGAATTCAAGGCTGCAGTGAGCTAGGATCACACCACGGCCCTGTAGCCTGGGCAACAACGATTAAAATTAAAAAAAGAAATGAAAAATAAAAAATAGCCGGCCGGGCACGGTGGCTCACGCCTGTGATCCCAGTACTTTGGGAGGCTGAGGCAAGTGGATCACCTGAGGTCAGGAGTTCAAGACCAGCCTGGTCAACATGCAGAACTGTCTCTACTAAATATACAAGAATTGACCAGGTGTGGTGACTCATACCTGTAATCCCGGATCTTTGGAATGGTGAGGCGGGTGGATCGCCTGAGGTCGGGAGTTCCAGACCAGCCTGACCAACATGGAGAAACCTGTCTCTCCTAAAAATACAAAATTAGCCGGGCATGGTGGCGCATACCTGTAATCCCAGCTGCTCACCTCAACTTCCACCTCCAGGGTTCAAGAAATTCTCCTGCCTCAGCCTCCTGAGTAGCTGGGACAATAGGCCCACGCCGCCACACCTGGCTAATATTTTTTGTATTTAGTAAAGACGGTTTCACTGTGTTGCCCAGGCTGGTCTTGAACTCCCGAGCTCAGGCAATTCCCCCTGCTTGTACCTTTCAAAGTATTAGGACAACAGGCATGTGCCACCACAGCCCGCTAATTTCATATTTTTAGTCGAGACAGGGTTTCTCTGTGTTGGTCAGGCTGGTCTCAAGCTCCCGCCGCAGCCTCCCAAAGTGCTGGGATTATAGGCGTGAGCCGCCGTGCCCAGCTAAAATCTGGTTGTTACATACATGGAAAGAATGAAAATATTTAAAACACATTGCACGGGCGTTTGCGGGGGCCACAAGTTTGAGACCTCAAAAACTATTTCCTTAGAGTCTGGGTATTCTGACTTCCAATGGGATGCAGGTTGGGGGCTGTGGACATGACTGGGAGAGATGACGGGCCTGGTTTCCAGTTCTGTGTTTCCTGCTTATCTGCTGTGTGTCCTCGGGTGAGTCTCACACCTCTCTGATCTGTCCCACGGGGGCTGGGCCAACAGGACTCGGGTTAGGGTCGAGGGTGTCGTCCTCACCCAGCTCCTCCTCCGTCATGGGCAGGAAGTGATCCACCAGCTCCTCTGATTTTTCCAGCATAACATCCACGGCGTGGCTCACGGAACGTTTCAGCTCCACGCTCCAGCGCCGGCCGCGCCGGGCCAGGTCCACCACGCCCGTGACACCGCTGGTCACTACGTCCTTGGCTGAGGTCACCACCTGGAAGGAAGGGCCCCCACTCCAAGCACCAGGGACTCCAGCTCCATTTCTGCCACTCCAGTTCCCTGAGGCTGGGACTCAAAGATCCTGGCTCTGTGCCTCAGTTTCCCCTATAAAATGGGTGATAAAACCCTTCCCTCACAGAGGGTGTTGAGGGCGTTACCTGCCCTTACTGACACTATATATGCAGGTTGCAATTATCTTAACCTGGCTGTTTTTTCTCGAGTTCACTAAAAGCCTGGCCGGCACCATCCCGCCCTCCCTCCCGCCTCTCCTCTGGCCTGCTGTCCCGGAGGTCCCCACATTCAGTCACCCAGGGTACCGTCTCTGAAGGTTGCTGGAGAAAGGGAAGCTTCTCCTCCAGCTTGTCCAGGCCCCTGCAGGCGAGACTGTTCACAGTGGCCACTGAAGGGAGACAGGCAGGGAGTGAGACTCGGGGAGATGTAGAAGGAGACAGGGACACAGTGAGAATTGTAGAGGAGGGAGTGCTAGAGACGGAAGCGGAGACAGAGAAGGAAGGAGACCAGGAGAGACAGGGAGACACAAAATAGAAGGATGAGGAAGAGACCGACACGCTTCCAGAGGCCTCACACCAAGAAGCCACTAAGATGTTGGGACAGATACCTGTAGCTCCCAGAGAGGGGCTCTAGGAGAGGGAGATGGGGAGGAGGCTTAGACCACAGGGGGACCTGGCTGCCTCCCTAGGTGAGACCGGGGCGGGGGGCCCTGCGGGTGTGAGTGTGCTGCTGGCTTGGGCGCTGCCTTCTTTGCCCTCCTGTCTGGGCCCTGACACCATCCCGCCCTCCCTCCCGCCTCTCCTCTGGCCTGCTGTCCCGGAGGTCCCCACATTCTCCCAGCACCAAGGTGACTTTTCAGCCCTGCCCAGCTCAGACGACCCAGCGGATGGACTCAAGGCCACAGAAGCTGGCTGAGAGGGAGGTGAGGAGGTGCTAGGCTGGGACCATCAGGTGACCTTCCTGGGCCAGACTAGAAACCAAGGGTCCTTTTGTCCCCCACCTATCATCAGCTTGGGGGTCCAGAGATGTGAGAACCGCAAGGCTGAGGCTGCAGGGTCAGGACAGGCAGAGGCAGGCACAGAGGGGAGGGGGCCTGGAGGGACAAATGGACCCAAGGCACATCAGGCCAACAGTTGAGGGAAGACAGACACGGAATGGGGACGAGAGGAGGGGCACCACCAGTCAACAGGTAAGGAACGGAAGAGGGCCTGGGGATCAGATTTATTTACTTATTTTTTGAGATGGAATTTCACTCTTGTTGCCGAGGCTGGAGTGCAATGGCGCGATCTCGGCTCACTGCAACCTCCGCCTCCCAGGTTCAAGCCATTCTCCTGCCTCAGCCTCCCGTGTAGCTGGGATTACAGGCACGCACCACCATGCCCAGCTAATTTTTTGTATTTTTAGTAGAGAAGGGTTTTCACCATGTTGGCCAGGCTGGTCTTGAACTCCTGACCTCAAGTGATCTGCCTGCCTCTCCCTCTCAAAGTGATGGGATTTACAGGCGTGAGCCACTATGTCTGGCAGGAGATCAGATTTTTTTTTTTTTTTTTTTTTTGAGATGGCATCTCGCTCTGTCGCACAGGCTGGAGTGCAGTGGCACAACCTTGGCTCACTGCACCTCCGCCTCCCGGGTACAAGCGATTCTCCTGCCTCAACCTCCCCAGTAGCTGGGACTACAGGTGCATGCCACCACACCCTGCTAATTTTTATATTTTTAATAGAGTTGGGGTTTCACCATATTGGCCAGGCTGGTCTAGAACTCCTGACCTCGTGATTCGCCTGCCTCGGCCTCCCAAAGTGCTGGGATTACAGGCATGAGCCACCACACCTAGCCAGATTTTTTTTTAGGTTTTTTTCTTTTTTTGAGATATTGGGTCTCGCTATGTTGCCCAGGCTGGTCTTGAACTCCTGACCTCAAGCAATACTCCTACCTTGACCTCCCAAAGTGCTGGGATCATAGGCATAGGCCACCACACCCCGCCGGTGTTAAGATTAAAGAGGGACCTAAGAGACTGAGGAGAGGTGAATGGCCGTGGGACAGGTGGCTAGGCTGAGGACGACACCAGGAATGTCATGCAGATAGACCAAGGTGGACGGGACATGGGGACCAGCCACGGCTCCCAGGGACACACGGGCCGGGGCACTCACGCTGGGGCTGCAGGTGCTCGAGCAGCGGCTGGGCGTGGTCCAGGGCACGGGTGGTCAGGCCGCAGACGCACTGCTCAGCCAGGCGGCAGGCGGACCCCAGCAGCGGATGCCTGTGCTTGGCCGAGCTGTAAGCATCGCAGACCGCAGTGCACGTGGCCCTGACCAGGGGCAGAGCCGCCACGCGCTGCACCACGTTCTGTGGGGAGGGTCAGCATCAGGGGGGGCCCTGGGGAAAGTGGAGCCCCAGCCACACCTCAGCACACTTCCCCTCTCTGGGCCAGGACGAGGGATGGGAGAGCGGGAGGACAGAGGGCTGAGCACCCCGCCATGTAGAGGAAGTGGAGGCATGTGGGTGTGAGAATGTCATGGGTCCTGCGCTCCCAGGGGCCTCTTCTCATGGAGTACAAGGAACATTACAATTTTTCTTTCTTTCTTGAGACAAGGTTTCGCTCTTGTTGCCCAGGCTGGAGTGCAGTGGCCTGATCTTGGCTCATTGCAACCTCCACCTCCTGGATTCAAGCAATTCTCCTGCCTCAGCCTCCCAAGTGGCTGGGATTATACAGGTTCCTGCCACCATGCCTTGCCCTTTTTTTTTGTATTTTAGTAGAGACGGGGTTTCACCCTGTTGGCCAGGCTGGTCTCAAACTCCTGACCTCAGGTGATCCACCTGCCTTGGCCTCCCAAAGTGCTGGGATAATAGGCGTGAGCCACTGTGCCCGGCCCTGAGATGCGTTTTTAGGGTTGTGATGGGGTGTTTGAGGAGCCAATGTATGTGAAACTCTTGGAACTGCGGCCGATACACGGATTGCTGCTCTATTATTGCTGTGTTATTGACGGCGCCATGATGGCGGACGTGGAGACGGAGGACACAGCGGGAGACCCATGGATGGGAGAGGGACAGGGCTGGGTGGGGGCCACAGAAGCTGGCTGGGTGTCTTTCAGACACACTCCCTTCCCAGGGCCTCATGAAGCCCCCTCCAGGAAATGCCCCATCCCCTCCACCATGGTCCAAATTTTACTAGTCAGGTTTTCCCAGTAAGGAGAGGAGTGGAGCGGGATACCTGACCTGCAATGCTCCTAGAAGGGACTGTCCCCCAGGATTCCTTGTGTCCCTGCTCCTCAGAGGGGCAGCCCTCACCTGCTGGTCCTGCTCCCACACGCTGGGTCTGGGCATCTGAGCCGCCTCATCTTCGGACATCATGCTGCAAACAGGGTCACACTGTGGGGCAGGATGGAGTTAGGGGGCACCTGGCAAGGCCTTGGACCCTGTCAAATTGGGCTCTGTGACTCGAGCAAGTCTCAAACCTCGTAGGGCCTCAGTTTCTTCATTTGCATAATGGGGTGTTGGGGGGTTCTGCGGGGCTCAGACAATGGGTGTCCAGGGCTCTGTACACAAGGTGTACATTAATGAGCCTCGGGCAAGGTGGGGTTGCTGGAGTGACTCGAAGCATGATTTTGGGGTAACAGCCTGGGTTTGAATCCTACCATTAACTGCTATGTGATTTTTATTATCGTTTTTTTTTTTTTTTTTTGAGATGGAGTTTCAATCTTGTTGCCCAGGCTGGGGTGCAATGGTGTGACCTCGGCTCACTGCAACCTTTGCCTCCTGGGTTCAAGTGATTCTCCTGCCTCAGGCTCCTGAGTAGCTGGGATTAACAGGTGTGCACCACCTCATCCAGCTAATTATGTATTTTTTGTTTTAGTAGAGGCAGGGTTTCTCCATATTGGTCAGCCTGGTCTGGAACTCCCGACCTCAAGTGATCTGCCTGCCTTGGCCTCCCAAAGTGCTGGGATTACAGGCATGAGCCACCTCACCTGGCTATTTATTACCTTTTTAAGGACAGAATCTGGCCGGGTGCGGTGGCTCACGCCTATAATCCCAGCACCTTGGGAGGCTGAGGCGGGTGGATCACGAGGTCAAGAGATCGAGACCATCCTGGTTAACATGGTGAAACCCCATCTCTACTAAAAATACAAAAATTAGCTGGGCATGGTGGTGCGTGCCTGTAGTCCCAGCTACTCGGGAGGCTGAGGCAGGAGAATTGCTTGAACCCAGAAGGCAGAGGTTGCGGTGAGCTGAGATCGTGCCATTGCACTTCCAGCCTGGGTAACAAGAGCGAATCTCTCTCTGTTGCCTAGGCTGGAGTGCAGTGGCACCATCTAAACTCACTGCAACCTTCGCCTCCCAGGTTCAAGTGATTTTCCTTCATCAATCAGCCTCCCAAGTAGCTGGGATTACCAGGTGCCACCACACCGGCTAATTTTTATATTGTTAGTAAAAATGGGGTTTCACCATGTTGCCCGGGCTGGTCTCAAACTCCTGGGCTCAAGGCCTGACTCGGCCTCCCAAAGTGCTGGGATTACAGGTTCCACTGCACCTGGCCTGCCGTGTGATTTTTGACAAGCACCCCCACCTCTCTGGGCTTTCTCTTCTGTAAGGTGGGGGAGACCCCTGCTACTCCTGTGGCCTCCGCCTGGGCCCAGAACTGCACAAGCACCCCAGACAGGGGTGGAGGTGGTAGCTGCTGAGTCTTAGACCACTCACAGCTCATTTGACAGACAGGGAAACTGAGGCACGCAGCAGGTCCATGCTGGGCCCAAGGTCACTCAGCCAGCTAGAATTGGAGGTGGGGAGCTCGACCTCAGGCCTCAGACTTGCCGCCTGCGGGTTGCCACCCGCGCCCTCTGAGGCCTGGTCCCCGCCCAACTGGGTCCTGGGCTTCGGCCAATTGTGCCAAGGGTCCCAGCCACCTGCTCTGGCCCGTCGTACCCGTCCCACGCCGCCGGACCTTCGCTGAACCACCCTATCCGGAGCTCCCCTCCCGAGTCCGGGGGCGCTCCTGGACGCTGCCCTCAGGGCACTCACCTGAGCGCGTCCAGCTTCAGACCCCAGGTGTCTCCGGCAACCCCAGGCTCCAGTCTCTGCCCACTTCACCGGCCCCGCCCCCGCCCATCTTATAGCTGCTCGGGTGGGTGGGGCCTCCGGGAGCCGACCAATGGGGAGAGGCCCTTCGGGGGCGTGCCCGGGCGCGTGCCGGGGGGGGCGTGGCGCCGGGTTGCCCTCGTCCTCGCCCTCCCGTGGGCTCGCCCAGTGCTCTGCGTTTGCCAAAGATTGAGGGAGTATACTTTCCCCGGCTAACTTCGGCCACCTGTCACTCACTGCTGTTGCCATGGGGACAGTCCATGCGATCACAGCCCCCATGGCCTTGCTAAGTGACCTTGGCCAATCAGTGACTTTCTTTCTTCTTATTATTTACGGATTTTTGAGACTGGATCTTGCTCGGTTGCCCAGGGCTGGAGTGGAGTGGTGTGATCATGGCTCACTGCAGCCTTGCCCTCCCAAGCTCAGGTGATCCTACCGCCTCAGCCTCCTGAGCAGCTGGGACCACAGGCACGCGCCACCACGCCCAGCTAACTTTTTTTTTTTTTTTAACTGTTTGTAGAAATGGGATAGTCCTGTGCTGACCAGGCTGGTCTTGAACTCCTAAGCCCTAAGTGATCCTTCCACCTTGGCCTCCCTAATTGCTGGGATTTCAGGTTAAAATAATATGTAACCTGTACAGCCTCTTTTTATTTCTTAATCTGCCCCTTCACTAAGCTAGAAGCAGACCTGCCCTTTCCCTAGGATCCCCATTTTACAGATGAGCAAGCTGAGTCTTAGAGATCACAAACCATTTTCCCCGGTCACCCCAGCAAGTGAGGGACCCTATTCAAACCCAGCCCTGCTGGACCCCAGAACCCTACCTTTCATTCCTGCGCCTGCAATGACCACAGACGTCGGCATGATCTTTTTTTGAGACAGTTTCACTGTTGCCCCAATCTGGAGTGCAGTGGCACGATCTTGGCTCATCGCAACCTCCACCTCCCAGGTTCAAACAATTCTCCTGCCTGAGCCTCCCAAGTAGCTGGGACTACAGGCACGCGCCACCACAAACCAGGCTAATTTTTGTATTTTTAGTAGAGACAGGGTTTCACTATGTTGGCCAGGCTGGTCTCGAACTCCTGACCTCGAGTGATCCACCAGCCTTGGCCTCCCAAAGTGCTGGGATTACAGGCGTGAGCCACCGCGCCTGGCTGTCATTACAGGCGTGAGCTGCTGCGCATGTCATTTTTCAGGGAGCTGGGAAAATGGGTCATGCTCCCAAGTCCCAGGGTCCCCCAGATCTGATTGCAGCCCCCACATGGTCAGTGCTGTATCAGCATGTGGCCCCGGGACCCTGCCCATCCCTTCAGCCCCCTCCCACCCCGGCAACCTTGCCTGGGGCAGGTGCCCCCTTAGATGATGTGAGGCCCGCATGACAAATTGTTTGGAGACCTGGGCAATCTACTTAAACCTTCTGGGACACCAGCCCTGGCAGGAATTCACTGGTAAAATGACACCCGGGCAGTGGTCAAGGTTTTATTTGCAGTGAGGTCCCAGGATGGGGGCAGGGAGAGGAGAAGCCACAGGCCATTGATCCCAATCGCCACCCACTAGGGAAACCGTGTTCCACACCCCAGGCCCCGGGCCGCACCTCTTTTCCTCCTTCACCCTGGAGTCCGGAGAAGTTGATTTGGGAGGATTCTAGGAACACAATGAAAGCCGATTTATCCGGTCCAGTGTTCAAGAGTTATTTATTAAACCCTTTAGGTCTGAGCCCAAGCTAAGTGGGACTCAGCACCGGACGGACCCTGCACTCCAAGAGCCCCCTGACTTAGGGAAGAGAGTCAGAGAACGGCAGCCCCAGTGTGGCCGGGGCTCAGCCACGGGGAAGGACAAGGGCTGGGAGAACCTGGAGGCCAAGAGATCTGAGAAATGGGAAATGACATTCCAGAGAGAGGGCACACCCTGGGCACGGGTCGGGAGGCTGAGAAGCCCCGTGTGTTCTCGGAAGCACGGGTGGGTGAAACAGGGCCCCAGCCACAAGGGACAGCCCCCACATCTTACCTTTGAAAGGCAGGATTATTTGCTAAGTGGGTCGCAGCATTCTCCCAGACCCCCCACCCTCAACCCCAGCCCCAGGTCTCACTGGGCCAGCTGGGCCACCGCCAGGAGCGGCTGGCCCTTCACGGCTTCAGGCCCGGCACAGCGCGTGTCACCCTGGGAAAACATCTTGTCTTGCTGGGCCTTCAGCCAACGCAACAGGTCGCTCAGCTTCCGGTCACAGATCCAGGGGTTCCTGGAGATGTCGAAGCCGTCCCGCAGGTCCCGATTTGACTGTCCTAGGGATGCCCAGAGCCCCTCGGGCACGCTGGCCAGCGAGTTATTGGAGAGGTCCAGCATGTCCAGCTGCCGCAGGCCCTGGAAGGCACCGGCTGCCACCCTGGCCAGCTTGTTGCAGTTCAGGAAAAGGTAGCGCAGGTCCGGCTGGGGCACGAGGAGGTCCTTTTCCAGGACTTGTAATCTGTTGCCTTCTAGATGAAGCCGTTCTAATTGCAGAGGACCCCTCAGAAGGTCAGGCGGCAAGGTCTCCAGCTGGTTCTCCCCAAGGTCAAGGGTGCGCAGGAGGGTGAAGTTGGCCAGCAGCCCAGGGGGCAGTTTCCGGAGGCGGTTCCCAGACAGATCCAGATGCCCCAGGGCCTTCAGGCCGTGCAGCCACGAGGCCTCCAGGACCTCCAGCTGGTTTTCTTTCAACACCAGGGTGTTCAGGGCGGCTGAGGTCTGGAAGAGACCCGGGAGAAGCCTGGTCAGGGCGTTTCGGGTGAGATCCAGCACCCTGAGCTGCGGTACTGGCTGCAAAAGCTCGGGTGAGAGGTCCTCCAGCCCGTTAGTGGACAGGTGCAACTCTTGGAGCTTGGAGGCGCCCTGGAGGATGTCAGCTGGCAGGTGTGTCAGGTTGAAGAACTCCACCGCCAGGTACACGGTGTCGGCTGGCAGGTGGCTGGGGATTTCGGCAGGTGGTTGGCAGGAGATGGAGGTGCCATTCTCTGAGTGGAACACCTGGCAGTCTTTGGGGCTCAGGGTGACCCCCCAGGCTGAGACCGCCAACAGCAGCAGGAACAGGGTTCTAGAAAGATAGGGCTGAACGCCCCCTGGGCTGCAGGCAGTAACAGAAGATGCTTACTAAACCATAGTGAAAACACACCCAGCAAGAGGAAAATACACCCCAAACCTCCCCACTTCTTCCCATCTCTGCTGGTAGCCTGGACTATGCTGCCTCATCTCTTTTTTTTTTTTTTTTGAGATGAAGTCTCCCTCTGTCGCCAGGCTGGAGTGCAGTGGCATGACCTCAGCTCGCTGCAACATCTGCCTCCCGGGTTCAAGCGATTCTCCTGCCTCAGTCTCTTGAGTAGCTGGGACTACAGGCACGTGCCACCACGTCCAGCTAATTTTGTATTTTTAGTAGAGAAGGAATTTCACCACGTTGGCCAGGCTGGTCTCGATCTCATGATCCCATGATTAACCTGCCTCGACCTCCCAAAGTGCTGGAATTACAGATGTGAGCCACCGTGTCCGGCCACTGACGCCTCATCTCTTACCTGGACTGGGGCAGTTGCTTCCTCCTCCTCTCCCAGCTTCTACCCTGCCCCCCAACAGCTGCCAGGAGCGGCCCCTGTTCCAGGGAGAATTATAATTCTAGGACAGTTGAGTTTCTGAGAGTAACTCCCACATAATAGGAATATCCTTCCCATTGCCAGTCTAGCCCCCATGCACTATTATTTACTCACAGGCCAACTTGCTAGTTTTTTCTGATCTGGCTTGTTTTCTGGGTCAGTCCTTGTCTCCCTGACTCTACGTTTTGATGTGAACTCCTTCTCATCCTGTGAAGCCCCAGCTCCAATGCCCTCTTTTCCATGAAGACACCTCTGCTCTGGGTCTTTCTGTCCAGCCTTGACCAATTGAGGGCCTAGAGGAAGATGGAGCTGGACACGGATAACCGAACCATGTTCAGATTCATATTTTTCAGACAGGGCCTCACTTGGTTGCCCAGGCTGGAGGGCGGTGGCGTGATCATCCTCACTGCAGCCTCTAAACATGCAAAGTGTGTCCTGCTCTGGCCAGGTCTGAGGGTGGGCACTTGGCCTTGGGAAGGGGCGGTTTACAGTTAGTACCATAACCCTTGGAAGCCTGGGGCTTCCCCTCCTCCTCCAGGGCTTTCCTGGCCCAGCGGCCATCATACATGACCTGGACAGCATTGGTCACTGTGGCCCCAGGCCTCTAACAAGAGGCCTCTCCCGACTTCCTCCTGCCTATGCCCACCTGGGCTTCTGCAGGTGTGTGTGTGTGTGTGTACGTGTATGTGAGAGAGAGACAGAAGAGAGAGAGAGAGAGAGAGAGAGAGAGAGAGAGCGCGAGCGCATGCATGCACCAGTCGGTCTATAGTTCAGGTTGGCCTGCCCCGGCCTCCAGGACTGTATCTGCCCCCTGTGACTTCAGTGGGTCAGCCAGAATGTCTTATATCTCCACATGGCCTCGCATTCAGACCTGCCTAGGATAGGTAGCATGGGGACCTACCTCTGGAGTCGCTGTCTGCTCCAAGAGGACATGGTAGCTCTTCTCTTTTCCGTCTGGGTTCTCCTGGCCTGGGGAGGTGGCCTTATACCCGCCTGGACTGGGGCAGAAGAGCCAACCCTGGGGAAGTCCCCACCCCTGTCCAGTTCCTGAAGGGGGTGAGCCTAAGCCAGGCAGGGGAAAGGGAGGGGTCAGGATTACAAAATTGCTTCCTGGAAATTATTTCCTGCTCAGCCCCGTTTTGACCCTGCTTCTAAAACCCAGCTTTTTCTTTCCCTTTCCTGATTTTGGGGGGCATCTGAGTCTCTCTAGTTGCATCCTCACTTCCCAACCCAGAGTCCAAGGATCAAGGTTTGCAAGGCAGCAACCCTGGAGAAAGGACAGCTCTTTGAGCAAGAGGAGCTAATGACCACAAACTCGAGCAACCAGGAAGCTCACTGAAAAGAACAAAACACTCTTGTCTTGACTTCACGGTATGCTGATCTTGTTTTTTTGTAAATGA